ATTTAGTGGATTTTTTATAATTTTTATAACCTTTTTTTTTCCTTCTTTTCAATCTCTTCAGAAAAGTTTACGGATTAAAGCAAGAATGTATTTCTAATGCAAGTTATTTGCCACTTCAGGGCATGGTTTTGAGCAAATAGAGTATCTACTGTAATATAAACTGATTTAGCATAAAAAAAAATTATAATTTTTTTAATACTGTACCACAACTATGATCAAGGGAGTAAAAGTATTGGTAGGAGTATTAAAAGTTGTTATAATTATTTCTTTTTCTCAGGAAAAGAAGTTAAATTTGGAATGCATTTTATTTCATTATTAAAAAATACCAATTTTCTAATAAGTACTTTTTTTTTATAGGTACCTGGTATCATTTCTTAATGTACATGAAGCTATATGTTAAGTTTATAAAACAGCTAATCTTGTTTGTGTAAACCAGTATATTGCAATGACAAATGGGAAAATATGCAGATATTTTGCAGAGGCATGAATTGTACTCTAGGGTAACTACTCAGATGTAACACTTTTGTTTTGGCTTTGTATGGATACCTTAATAGGTAAAAACCTCAGTAAGTGAAAGTAGTTAGCTGACAAATCAGTGCTGTTATTTCTTTATTTAGGATAAAGGACATTTCCAGAATATAACTATGTTTAAGGTTTAGGCTGACATTGTACTTATGGGAGTGTACCACCGTTTTCTTCTACTGGAAGTGTTGTGCATTTTTGAGGGTACCTTAGCTATAGACTTGCTTGAAAATAGCATGATTAGAATTACATTTTGGGGGATTTTTAAACATTAAATATTTTTGGTTGAGACAAAGTTCTTTATTGTAAAGGAAGAAGTTATTTGAGAATAATCTTGTTAGTGAAATATAGGAAATGTGGATTAAAGGAGAAGTCATCATTAAAGGCAAGGTTTTGCCTCAAAACAGAGGTAAAGAAATTAACAGTTAATTGTTATAATGTTATAGGTATTGAAAGTGTAAGTTGAAGTTAAAGCATGGTTTAAGGATAATGCCTGATATAAAATGAACGAACAGCTTTTATAATGTAATATAGGTAATGCAGATATTTTATTTAAAAGTAAAAAGGTGAAGATAATTAATGTTAACTTTTTATAAGAGCAAGCTACTTCGGTCAAGTAATGAATATAGCTAAATTAATACACTGTTACAACTAACAGAGATTAAAATACATTGATTCATCAGTTGAGTACCTATGCTGTTAATGATATTTTTGGCTATAAACCAAATAGTGTCTCATGAGTTGTGGCCAGCATAGGACATTTAAGTTAGCCCTAAATCTGTATACTAAGCTAATAATGCAAAACAATCTGTATAACAAAAATATAATAATAAGAAATTTAAAATAATAAAACTAGATATGTTAAACACTATAACTAATACTACCAATGAAAATAATATTTAAGAATAGAGTATACCTCACTTACAGAAAACACACACTAATTGTTTGCTTTGAGTACATTATACTGTGGTTGCTTTAATTTCATTTTAATGTTCATTAAAAAACTCAACATCAGTAGGACCATGTATAAGTAAAATTTTCCACAATTCTCCCAAAAAATGTTGTTTGGCCAATGAAAATCCATAAAATGGTTCTGAAAATGCAACGATAGAGGAGTATGACATCTGAAATAAATTTATGTGACACACTACTGTTTAGGTACAGAGTCAAGTAGTAGGACAGAACCAATAGTACAGCCAACAACTAATGTTTATGAAGATACAAAAATAAATAATAATAAATAATTAATTAAATGAATATCAGAATTGTAGAATAAGTAGCTAGAATTGTGTTACTGAAATTAAAACATTACCATGTTAAGTACAATAAAAAGAAAAACAGTGTAATGAACATATTATGAGGTATATCTCACACAACTAATCTATCTTTAACTAATCACTGTCACTTTACAAAACATTTGGACCAGGCAACAAGAAACAATAAAGTTAAATCTTCTGAAACAGCCACAAAGTAAACATTATAGGATTCAAGAAAGTCCAATAATAATACTTAGAATAGGAAGTTACAATTATAAGTTTTCAAGGGTTTGTTTGTTTCTTTTTGAATTTCCTGCAAAGCTTTTACCAACAGATAGTGGAATTGACCATTACATTATAACGCCCCATGGCTGAAAGGGCGAGCATGTTTGGTGGGACGGGGATTCGAACCCATGACTCTCAGATTGCGAGTAGAGCACCCTAACCACCTGGCCATGTCGGGCCATTTTTAAGGGCAAGGCATAATTTTTTCTGGGAATATTCAGTAAGGGGGTTATGCTCCCTAAAATATATCCTACAGTATATGCATGTAGTAAGCTGCTTAACTGATTTAATATTGGTTGTATTTTTGTGCTCCCAACAAGCTCTGTGAATTGGGATAATAATGAATGTAGCATTGTCATGTGATTGAAATGATAGTATGGCTGGTGAAAAACCACAGTAAGTGGCACAAACAGTTACAAGTATTGATGGTTAAAGAAACAAGTTTAAACACATTCATATGTTCTTTTTAGTTTGAAGTTGTCTTCTAGCAGGAAAACTGGTCAACAATGCCTATGTTATCTCAGAACTTTGAATTCTCTAAGGCCAGGAAGCTGTTTTGCCTAAAGTAACACTGGGATGTGTTGAAAATAGGCAGGTTTTTCATTAAGCAACTTTCAGAGGTTTTTCATTTTTTTTAGTTATCCACTGTGTATAAAATTCTTGTTGATTTTAAATAGAGTTGATGGCAAGAATCTCACATATGAGGATTAGAGCATTGTTTGTGTTTATATACTTAATGTGTTTTTTAATGTTCAGAAACTCTAGTATCAACACTTATTCCACTTTCACTTACATAACTTTTATCACAGGATTGGCATGGTAAAATAATTAATTTAATAATATGATGAAGATAAAGAAAGTTAAAGACCCCTTTTCCAAAAGTTCTTGACAATTCAGCACCTGTGGTTACAACAGTGGTAAATAAGTATGACAATTAATTAGCAAAAAGTAATGTTACTTAGCTAATGACATAATGTTTTACTACATATGGAACTGTTAAATAATTAGTATCAGCTGTATATATTCTTCTTCCTCCTACTCTTTTTGTTAGGCTAAAAGCTTTTTGGCTACATCACTCCACAAAAGATTGCTACACAATCCTATCCTGATATAATTCTTGTTCCTCTACCTTCTCTAGTGTTGTTCCTCAATTTTCAATTGCTTGTTCAATATTTTTTCTCCATCTCACCTTTGGTCTTCCTGTGGACCTTTTTCTGATTGGTATCCACTCCATATATTTCTTCATGTACCTCTCTTCTTTCATCTGCTTGACATGCACCTACCACCTCAACTGATCCAAGCCTCTGCTTGAGTTTCTAGAGCAAGTGCTAGGCCTGTCCTGGGCCCTAAAGGCTGTTAACTAGTACACTAGCCCTTTGTCTCTGGCTTCAATATGGTTACAGGTCTACTATCACTAGATCTGAGCAGACCCAAGGTAGGCTTCAGAGTCATTTGAATGTGAATTGTTATGTACTGCAGTTCTGTTTGCTTTAAATTTTCTTCTTGACTGTTGCATCACTTGACATAATGTTACTATTTGCCATTGTTCTTGTTGGTCAACTCTCAGTAACTCTCCAATTAGCTACTAGGGCTAAGCCATTGTCTACTATGTTAGCTTCAAGGCAAGAATGTAGCCTTTAGGCTTAAATTATGTAGAAAGATTTTGTTACTTTCTTGTGATTGCCAAGTTTATTTTATTTAGTTTTTTGCTCATTAGTATTTCTCTGATCTCTGAATAACTGGCTGGCTATTTATAATGTCCACACTGCAAGCTGTACATACTGTTTGGCTGCTATTTAAGATTCGTAAGAAATCATTCATATGTTATTTTTACACTCATTAAAATATATGTGTCAGTTACAATAATCATATTCAGGTGTTTTTACAAAACCAAGTTTAAAATGCTAGATAATATACAGATGTTTCATTCATTGGTGAAAAATTGAATATTACTTACTATTTTTAAAAATCAGATGTTAGACTATATTCAGGTTAAATTTCTTCCTTTCTTTGATTAAGAGTAAAGTATTACTTATGAAAGTGAAAAATCAGGTTTTGAACAATTTTCACATGTTTCATTAGTCAAGTGCTCAAAATAACAAAATTCATCAGTCAGGAGTGAATTAGTACTGAAAAAATGGAACTGAAAATCAGATGCTACAAAGACTGGGAATACAATTTTGTTTTCAGAAAACAAAACATTTTTCAATAACATTTCTGTAAAGATTATTACCAAAGGCAGTAAATAAAAATGAAACTCGGGAGAAGAAACTGAAGAACAGAAACCATAAAATAAAAAGAGTACACAAACTAAAATGCAATAAAATATAAAAATATAAATATCCTGTTTATTAAAGATATTGGATACAAGACTTTCATCATCTTTTCTGTTGTGCAGTAATTATTGTGTGGTATGGTGTATTAAAAGTGACTCTCTGTAATATTAGGAAAACAATGAATTTGATTTGTCTGTGAAATACCTGATCTTTATGTGAAGAAATACATAATGTTTTGAACCATGTTAGCTATATGTAAGGAAGTTTGTGGATATGAAATTAACAACTTTTAAACCTTGACATTTCATTTGTGTGGCATTGTCTTTGAGAAAAGCAGTGTTTAGATGTACCTAAATACTTGCTGAGAATTTTCTCTGCGATACACTTTAATAGTTACTGGCATAGAGGTTGAGCAATATTTAAACTAAAAGTGTCTCTCTTTCAGCTTGTGTGTGTGTGGAGTTTGGTTCATCTATGTTATTAGTGGTTTTATAGTAGTCAGAATTTTGTTATCATTTTCAGATTCTACATACATGGTATGTTGATTCCCTGCTTTGTGTTTAATGCTGGTTATGCAATATGCTCATTAGCTTCTATTTACCACCCTTTTTTCCACTTTGAAAGTGAAATTAACAGTTCTGATTTTATCATTTTAATGCAGGGAAATGGGATTAGCACAGCCAACCTTATATCTGGAGGAGGACAAGTTATTGCAACAGGTGGGAAAAGTTGTGTTGTAGGACAGATGATCTCAGCAAAGTCTACTGCTGTTATTCAAGGTCAGGCAGGGTTTGTCCCTTCTACCACAAGCCAGCAGGCAGTGGTGATTGGTCAGTTAGGAGTGATTTCCAGCCAGGCATCCATTCTTCCTACACAGAATAAAGCCATTGGTGACAATTCCAGAGGGAAGCAACCCTTTGTGAGTGTTCAGATTATGAGTAAAATGATTTTCTCAGCAAATCTCCTGAATTACTATCCATTGTATCAGTTTTCAGTAGAAGCAATGGATGTATCATTTTTTTTTAAAGGAAGAGGTTGCATGACTGTCAGTGAAAAGTAAAAGTAACCATAATTTTTTCAGTATTTTAATCTATAAAGGGAACTAAATTATGAGAAACCAGCATTAATCTCAAGAACCATATTATTTTGTTTGTGTCAGCCTATCAAGTAAGCTTTCCCAGCATGTGCTTGCATTGCATAGTGAAATATGTTTTTTTTTTTATGAGATAGCTCTAAGAGTTCAAATGGTCAGATTTATTTCATATCAGTATTAGTTCATGTTTTTTATAAATGTTTTAAGCATACCTTTTGTTTCTTTTTCAGCTTTTATTTAATATTTTTGTTTATTACAATATTATATAATCTTCAGTTGACCTTTTTTCTTTTCTTTTCTTTTGTTTCTATCCCACTGTAGGTTATGGGAAATATGACTTCCATGTCATTTAGATCCCCTTCCCTACTTCCACCTAAGGTACGTTAGTATAATAACCAAGTTTCTGAAGAACATCTTATTACATGTCACATGTACAATATTTTGTATATCAGACTGTTAAGAATTTTATTATTTTATTTGTGTTATTTGCAACTAAAATCAGTAGAAAATGTGTTTGTTTTTTAAAACATTTTCTTTTGAATATAGCTTTAATGTCAGTGGGCAGGCTAAAAAAGCATTTATCACTATTACTCTAAATAAACAATCCCTTCTTACATACAAGCATGTTTTTCTATTGTCAGATTTAACTTTCAAGGTGAAAAAATTTAAAATGTTACAGGTGTAATTGGTAACTGTCTTAAGAAAGACAGAACCTTGTTTTTGTAATATATTGTTTTAATTTTTTCCATTTAAACTACGTACGTGTTTTAGTTATATCCAAAATATTTTGTTTTCTCTTTTATGGTATTTACAGAAACAAATGCTAATTTTCAGAATTAGATTTAGCAAAGTTATGTCAGCCCAGGTGTAGAATTATTTCAATATTAGGTTTGTGTATTTTTTTATTAATAATGTTTCCTTAAACCTGTCTTTTGCTTAGGTTTTGTCCTTTACCCCTTATTTTTCTGTGAAAGACAATTAAGGAAGCATTATTCATAAAAGTACACAAACTTAATATAAATGTTTATATTGGATTTCCCCTTTACCTTTATTGAATGCTCTTTATCACATATGACTCCTGTTTAAACAGTTTAAGAGCCAACATAAATTCTGTTCTCTTTCTTTTTTACCAGCTGAGGAAGCTTCACTGAAGAAGTGAAATGTTTTGGTTTATGCTTTATTTTTTAGTTACTTGAGAGAAGAAGAAATTCATTCAAGTGTCCATTTCATTTATAACCTGTAAATTCCAGAATTAATAATAATAATATTAATAATTAATAGGAATTAATAATAATACTGTCAGTATTACCAATAAAAATGCAGCTTTTGCTTCCAAGATAACTTTCATTATTGGTTATCTGATAATAAAATCATTTTTTAACATCAAAGTTGTTAAAAAATGTGTATGCAAGCCGTAGCAGATGTGCAAACTGAGATTCTCAGAACAGTGCATTAAACTGTGTAAAGTTACTTTAAAAAAAGTTCTTAAAGTTCCAGTCTTTACTTTTGTGGTGCTAGTTTCCATCATAGCTTAATATAAAATGGTAATGTAAGAAATAAGTCCTTTTTTTTGGCAACTCAAAAACAATATGAATTAAAGAATAGAAGTTGTTTGAGAATATATGTTTTAAAGTTAATAATTTCTGGAACTTAGAAAGTAGCCTGAGAAGTGAAGGCCAACAAATGGGCAGGCAGTATATTGTGAAAAAAAAAACATTGTTAATTTCTTATGATACATTTTGAGTTAATTCATAATGATTTTAAATCAAAAGTATTTTCAACATGTCACTGCACTACTTGCTCTGTTAAATTTGTATAGTAACCTGCATAATAGATATTATAAAGTCTAATGCTTTTTGAGGCTATTTTGGCCAGTAAAATGTCCAAGTAAAAATATTGGAAGATTAATAAATTCATGAAATATCCAAAAAACATATAATGAAATGTAAAGAGACTTACCTTGCCTAATGATTTATATTCTTCTAGAATATGAAACAAAAAATTGAAGAAAATATTTTACATAGCGTAAACTCAGTAATGATTTTTAAAAAAATCAGTTTTAAGCTTTATGTGTAATGAATTTTACATTGAGCTATTAGTGACTCAGCATTTATATGTATTGTTATGAAATACTGTATATAAAAAAAAATGAAACATTGTTTTAAATTACAATTTTTGATCAAATTAGAGTCCTACCCAGTACCTTCTACGTTTGGATGTCTTTTTCAACACTCACCTCAGTTGGGTCTAACCTTCTCTTCTCAGATTCTGTTCTATAAAATTGTCAGTTTGCCATACTCTGTCTGCTCACTCACTTTCTGCATGCGAGGTTCTGTCGCTTTTGGGGATGTGGTCTTCTATGATATCACTAATCCTCCTCAGCATTGCACTTCCTTCAGTGGACTCTGCACGATCAATGGCACCTTACTTGGGATCCCTTGGATGCTCCTATCACCCTTCCTCCTTCCCTTGTAGACAATCTCCTTTGGTGGTTGGACAAGACTCACACATCAGTGGATTTCCCACTTCCCCCTCCTTGCCTGGACTTAAATCTGTTTATGGACGAATCCCTAAAGGGCTGGGGTGCATATGTCGATCAATCACCAGGAGGCTTTGGATCATTGGTCTCTAGACAAACAGTCTTTACATATCAATGTCCTAGAGCTCCTAGCCATTCGTCGGCTTTGCGATACTTCTCATTGCCAAACATTGTCTGGTAATGATCCATTCCAACAATTCCATGGTAGTGGCTTATATCAATCACCAAGGCAGCACCCAGTCAATATCCCTCTGTTTTCTCTCATTGGATCTCCTATATTGGGCCTACACGCAACACATTCATTTAATTATGTGTCATGTCCCAGGTGCTTTCAACCTCGTGGTGGATTGTCTTTCCCACCCCGACAAAGTTTACCCTCTCTTTTTCCGGTGGTTTTGCAGTATGTGGGGCATTCCTCACATCATTGCTTTTGCTACTGTCCTCAATCACCAGTTACCTATATTTTGGCCCCCAGTTACTCATCCTCAGGCTTTGGCTATAGATACCTTCAGCCAGGATTGGGCACACAAATTCTGATATTTCTATTCTCCTATTTGATTACTTCATTATGTAGTTTTTCTGATCCATGCCGCTCCATGCCAGGTCCTTCTGATTGCTTCCTACTGATCAGCTCAACCATGGTCTCATCATTTACTCCACCTACAATTATTCATTCCAATACTACTTCCCTTAGTACCCTACCTTCTTCAACAACCTTGATCACCAGTTCTACATCCTGCACTTTATGTCCTCCGTCTTCACACCTGGCTTTTGTCTGGTCTTTGGAGAGGAGATCTGGTTTCTCCCTTCATGTAGCTTCTGATTTGGCCCAATCCATCCGTCCTTCCTTCATGGAAGTGTCTCAGAGAAAGTGGAAGGTCTTTCAAACAGGGGCCTAGGCTTGGGGATTTCTGGCTGCTCGCCCTACTGTTGCTGGTGTCTCACGTGGCCTTTCGACCAGAGGTCTTCAGTCTCCTCGATTTCAGGTTATTGGGTAGCTTTATCTCGTCCCTTTAACCTTTCCTGTTACTGCAGTATTTTTTCTCACCCGTCCTTACCATATTAATCCATTCCTTACAGATTCGTCTACCTCCTTGGTGACCTGCCCTTCTTGATTGGAATATTAATGTGGTCCTCCATTCCCTTACTTTACCTCCATTTGAACCTATACCCTCATGTCCTTTGTTTCACCTGTCCCTTAAGGCATATTTCCTTCTTCTCTTGGTCTGTGGGTGTCAACAGTCTCACTTGTTTGCCATCAATGTTACATGCAAACTTTACCACCATACCTATCTTGCCCTTTATCCTTCCTACCTGAAACCTTGGTGGCTCGTGAGGGTAACTCCTCCTTTTCACCTGTTTCTCTACCCTCTATTTCTCATCTATACCCCATCCCAATCTGGATAGACTTCTATGTCCTATGCATGTCATTCAATGTTATATTGCCCACACAGCTTCCTTCTGTGGTTCTCATTCCTGTCTCTTTATCCCAGAATCTCTCCCATTTTACACTCACCAGTTGGGTTCATCGTTTGATCCAGTTGGCTTATTCCTCCTTGTCCCTTTCCCAGTGTACTCTGTACTGTGTTACCTCTCATCAAATCTGACACCTCACCTTTTCACTTGCTTCTTGTCTTGTCGACCTCTGGAGGAAATCCTACAATCAGGCATATGGACCAATCCTAACATGTTCACCTACCATTATTTACCTCATATCAGCTACAGGTTTATCAGGTTTTTGCCTTCCACCTGTACTCCAATCTTTGGTGTGACTCTGATACTGGGTAAGTCTTTATTAATCATTTATTTTCTTTCAAGGGCCCAATCTTCATGCCTTCATTACTTGGATTCTGCTCTGTGGTGAATGGTACCTGACCAGGTATTCTTTAAATCTAAATCCGCACTGTACACCATGTTGAATAATGCTTTCTTTCCATGGCTCCACACACTCGCTTTTGTGATGGGGTGTTTCACAAGATCACTTGCAGATGAATAACCTCGCGATATTTACTTCATAAATTAGCCTGTTCCAGACCGTACCACCTATGGACTTCATGGGTATTGAAGAAGGGGATACCTGCCCATTCTTGCCATGCCTTGATTTAATAAATCAATATGTTCTGCTTTTCAAAATAGGGTTTCAGGATCAAATATCTACTTTGCAGTATTTTTTACTTATGGTTCTCACTGATATTGTTTCTCTTACCAAGTGACTCTTATGTTCTTTATCATTTTGTCTTTACATAAAATTTCACTTTAATTGGTTTTCCCTTGAGGAGAAACATGTCATCAGGAGTTGATAAGGATTTTATTATCTAGTTTTGTTTCTGGTCCTTGTCTCTCATCAAAATTATCAGTGAGTAATGGTTGTCCTCCTGCCTTACTTTTGTCATATATACTTTTACCTATCAAACATCGTGAGTGGCCTAACACAGAAGGAGGCAAGATAAGTCTTTTCAACCTGTTCATCAACTATCTCTTTTTTTGTGTGTGCAGATGATTCTTCCGTCTGAACATTGTTTGGGAGTTGTCTTGGTTCATTTGTTTGTCTATGGGGCCTTGGGCTTGACAGGATCTTCAGTTTAGTGTTTACTGTCAAATTTTTCTTCCTCCTGTTGCTTTTTCCTCTTCCTTCTGATCCTGTTTACTTACAATTTCTGGATTAGAAAGTCGCAGATCTCTCTCAAGAAGGAGCAGTAGAAATGATTTATCATGTTTCTTCAGATTTTTGTATTTCCAAAAAAAATGTGAGATTGGAGACCTGTTTCAGCTCAATCATTACCTGGATGCACTTCAGATTAAATTGTAAAACATGAGGATGTTACAGAAGTTTCTTTTTTTGAAGCCACTGGGTGCTGAAAGTAAATACACAGGATATTTAATAAAATTTGAAGATGGCTTTATTACAAGTTTAACACAGTAACAAATGTACAATGTTTCAACATGGTTTTCTCATCATCAGGTACAAGTAGTTTACTTAGACACAGAAATATGTATACAGTATGAGGCAAAGAAGTCACATGATTGGAGATTATGTAGCAGCATAGTAAAGTTATCTTGGCTGTCCTGGACGTTGATTTAGTGTGACATTGTTTTGTTAAGTTAAGATGGTCTGTAAACTATATGCCTGGCTGCTATTCATCCTTTTGTCCAAGACGCCAGATTATATTCACTTATGGCTCGATTATTAGCCCATTCTCATAGGTGTTTTTTTAATGTCTGTTTATCAGTCTTGTTGAAGTATCTTCTGGAGTTGGTGCATTAGACATGTTATATCTTGTTTATTTTCAATTCCTCAACAATTATGTATTTGTTTGATAACTGTGTCCTATCAGCTTCTTCCATAGCTGGTTACAGAACTGTCTTATTTGTCATCTTTGGATACCATGAGAGCCATTAATCTCTTTTGTTCTCATTAGTCAAAGACCTCTTCCAAACCATTTATATTTAGTGACCGAGACTTTTTAGGTACTATCCTAAAGATGACTGTTTTGGGAATGCATTTTTTGGCTTCTTTCCTCTCTGGACCTTTTGCAATTTACTGCTTGATCATGTTTTATTACTCACATTTGGTGGATGGTGTTTTGACATCTATGCTTTTGATGCTTCTTGTACTGTGTTTTGGAAAGCCTTACATTTGTTCCTTGATTGTACTCTTCTACCTAAAATTTGGGCTGCAAAATAAGGTAACACTGATGGTCATTCAGAAGATTCCTTTATTGCCTGTTGGGGCTATTCATTGTTATATCACAGATACTGAATCTTTTAGTGTTTTTTGAAAAAAGCTGTTTATATCTTATAATGAATCATGCTCATTGGAACTTGCTCCAACTACTTTAAAATAGTGACTTGTGCAAATGATATGTCTTGTTTACTGGGATGTTCCAATACGTCTTAAAAGTGAATAATAGATTTTGCATTAGGTTACAAAATTCACCAGCTGGTGATGTCTTTAGCATCCCAGTTGCAATACTCATTAGAGGATATTTTGCAGACCAGAATGTGAATGTATTTAGATAAAATGTTACATTGTTTTTGAGTTATTATTTGTTCTCAGCTGACTTAACACTTGAGCCTACACTTCTGTTATGCATAGTAACCCTGTTGTCGCTCTAAGGACCAAGATCCCTTTTAACAATTACAGGGGCAACTGGGATCATGAAATCATTTGATTTATTTAATAAAACAAAATATTGTATACTTACTATCTGAGACTACATACTTGGAATGACTCATTCAGATGGGACTCTTATCTGTGATTGTCCTAGACAAAATTTCACCTTCCATGAGAAAGGACAGGGGATGCTATCTAGTGCATGATGATGCCTTTGTGGATACCTTTCCAACCTTCTCATGAACATCCTTACATAGCATTTGAGACATTGAAGATGATACAACTGTTCTCCACTTGATGTCTCATAGCTCTAACTAGGATGAAGAACATCTTACTGCTTTATATTTATCTTTCTTAACCTATCTGGTGTTTCTGTTTCACTGTCCTTGAGTTTTAGAGCCCGTCCTCATGTCTGCCTTCATCTTTTTGATTCTACCTGGGTGCCCACTTACTGGGTCAATTTCATGGTTTGATTGTCTTTGTTGGATGTGGATGTAAGAAGCCATAATGTTATGAGCATATCAAGTCATCACATGATTTTTTTTTAATATATATTATTTAAAGGGTGATGATAGTGTGGAGGTACTCTTCTGAGAGGAATGCATTTTCATATCCAGTCATTAGCTATTATTGTTCTACTCCTCTGAGAATCTTTGATTATAGGAACAGGACAGTGAATTGCAATCTGACCCTAACTACCTCTCTTAAGTCACTATCTGTGATAGATCCATATCACATGAATTTTTTTAATATATATTATTTAAAGGGTGATGATAGTGTGGAGGTACTCTTCTGAGAGGAATGCATTTTCTGAATGTCCTCATTTGCTTCAATCTCTTGTGAGGTTGTTCTGCTCTACTCATTCTTTCCAAGAAACCAGTTTATTGAACCTACTTTGGTTCCGGATTCCTTTCAACTGTAATTGATCACATTTTCAGTTTTTGGGATCTATGTTGTTTGTTGCCTTTCTGCCTAAGAACCCAAATTTGGTGAACTAGTGGTTCTTATTAATCTCTGCCCCTCCCTCCATTACAATATGCATATTCTGGCTTTTTGAATTTTACATTTTTAGAATTAATATGAATTTCAAATAGGTGCTTAATTCTGAAGTACATCCCCACCCACCTGCCCACCTCCATATGTGTTTTCCATCATAACTTCAGCTTCAAAATCTAATTACATGTTTATTGACAGTAGGAGAGTGCAATTCAACAAGGAAAGGCTTTTTTTATTTTAGAGGTATTTGGAGGTACATGTTATGACAGACAGATTCATAGAAACCAATAACAATTATATGAACAAGGCTTTAATAATATTATAACAGATGATCACATACAACTTAAAAACATGAATGGTATGTGTTGAAACATAATTTCTTTCTTACAGATTATGAGCCAGGGTGCTGCACTACAACCAAGGTCACCCATTTATCCTTCTCCTATATCATCAATTGGATCTTCACCCCAGTCTTTCACTAGCACTCAACTGAAACAGTTCACTTCCTCACCCCAAATCATATCATCACAAACTCCAGCAGCCATGATAGCTAGTCATTCCCAGATTCTAGGTGGGGAATTTCCTAGCACAAAGCATAACTGTTGTTTTTAATTTTAACATTTTCTCCTATTCTACATTTACATTATATGAAATTAATCTAATATAATAATGCTCTATACATATAAGTGCATAAACTCAGTTCATGTACATTAAGACTGTGCAATATTCATTTATAAAAGTTGGAATTATTTACAAGTGCATGTTATGTTCATTTTTTCAGAGGTTTGTTCAAAAAAAAAGTTGTATAAAAGTGTAAATTGTCTGTTATTAATGAAGCGTTTTTAAAGAAATTCAATAACATTTGCTTTCAAATGAATATTATAGAATTTTTTGTGCAAGTTCACACCTACTACCATATAATGTTCAAAATGGCATCTGAATTATTAATTGTTATGAACACAAATAAGTGAATTTATAAATTATCAACTTTCTTCCATTATGTAGAACTTTTTCATTCATGTACTTGCCTATATGTATTATCTACATACAGTTTATATCAATAATTACTTGTGTTCCTAAAGTCTTATCAATTACACCATTTGTTTCACAATTGAAGATCTCTTTGATTGTGTTTGATACGTTTTCTTAATCATCATTACTAGACCTAAAACAAAAAAGATTTATAACCAGTGTTTTGCATTATGTATTTTCCACATGTAAATACTCAAATTTAAAGATCTGGGACAGAGAAAATTGACTTATAATACACCCCATGGATGCAGACTAAATTTTAAAGAGGCCAACATTTGTGAGCGAATGCAACATGTTTCTGCCATGCAAACACAACGTAGCCAATTTTGACACCAAAGAAACTGTGAAAAACAGAAAAATGGGCAAGTCCATCATCTTTGTTTGTCAATGTATGTTGCCTATAGAAAAGCATCTTTCTACCAAATTCCATGTAAATTGGTCCAAACAAGGCTAAGTAATTGACCAAAACCCCCAAAATTATGCTTTTTTGTGAGCTCTGCCCCCCCCCCAAAAAAGACTTAAAATGGTTATATGCAACGTTTTTTTTATGTCAGTGTGTTGGGCACCTGAAACTTATGTTTGTGCCAATTTTCATCTTCATTGCTGTAAATATGACTGCATAGGAGCCCAAAATATGCATTTTTGTACTGTTTGACCTTTAACCCATAAAATCCTTAAAAAAGGCCTAAATCTGAAAATTAAAAAGGTGTCTGTGCAATTGGACCATTCTGTAACCCTACCAAGTTTCAAGTCAATCCACCAAGAAATAAAGGATTGGTTGTTGATTGAAAAATGTTTAGAAGAAGAAGAAGAAAGAAAAAGGAAGAAACAATTGAAAACAGTATGTCTCTCTATGGAGACATAAATATCTTCATGCTATTCTTTTAATCTTATTCACCATTATATAGTTTTGAATGAAATTGAGGTATTTTGCTTCCAAAACATACGTATCTCCATTGCCACTTATAGTTATTTCTTGACTGTCAGGGTTTCTTCCTTTGCTCATCTAAGCATTAGTCTGATTTTTTCTCACTTGTTCCAGTCTTTTATACCCCACTAAGTTGTCTTTGGCAATATTTGTCATATGATAATCTCCACCTAGGTCATTGCGCCCTCTATCCAGGTATTGTATATAAGCGTCTCTTTCAGATAATTTTATCACTTTTTCTTGACAAAGCGTCACTACTGGGTTTCCCAGTATTATGATTGTTCAGAGATACTTTTAACATTATGGTGTTATCTAGTTGATTTTATAATAATAATAATTTAAAATAAATTGTTTTTTCTTTCTTCCGATTGACAAGTCGATTATGATATGAATTCCCGGTTTATTATTTCCAGCACGCAGGCCAATTGGATCACTCCACTCCCACCTATTATATCTAGAGTCACTTCACACAACAAATGTGGGGGAGCTACTCTTGGTGGAGAATGCCAGGGATGTTATTTGTAATGAGAGGGAAGCATATATATTATGAACTGTGGTGGTCATCTGGGGGGGGGGGGGGCTCTCAGGCTACATTTGAGGGTAATCCTTGACATTTTAGGAAAGACTTTAGATTAGCTTTTTCCTGTGCCTTCTTTTTAGTCTGTTGGATTTTCAGCCCCCCGTTGGTCAGTGGTAAGTTTACAGACTCTCATCGCCTTAATACAGGAATTAAGTGGAGAGTGACGAGCATACCTGTTCTGGATGTAGTACAGTTCCCCCACTTGGGTATCATTCATATCTTGGTACACCCATGATTTATGCAGATGCTTTCTGTATGGATAATGCTCTCACTGGCCCCTCCACCTTCTCAGTGTGCGATTCTAGGTATATGTGGTAGCGGAGATAAGTATGTTTTGTACATTAACATTTTCCTAAATTGAAAATATATTTCCAATAATACTTACCTCCACTGATACTCTCCTGCTTTTCCTCCACAGTAAGAGCCGGTGTTAGAGACTGGGATGGTATCAGTCTCGAAAAAGAGATAAAATTATCTGAATGAGGTGCTTCTATATAGTACCAGGATAGAGAGTGCCTTGATGTAGGTGGAGAATATCACAAGATAAATATTGCCAAGGGCAATTGAATAGGGTATAAAAGACTGGAGCAAGAGAGAAAATTTCAGAGTAATGCTTAGATGGGCAAAGAAGAAACCCTGGTGGTCGAGTAATAGCTATAAATGCGAGGGGAGGTAAGTATTATTAGAAATACATTTTCAATTTAGGAAAATGTCAACCTGCATATCGCTTTAATTTGACATTTCCACATCCATACTGTTTCCTGTGGTTTTCAGGGCAGAAATGTTCTGTCCCATTCTACAGAATTCACCATGTGGAAACTTGACTTGGATGCAGCATCATTTATCTTCAAAATAATGTGCTATCTGATAAGGAAGACCTCATGATGGAAAAAAACAAGGAAAATGTCATGAAAAACCAATGTAATGTAAAAAATGCTCAAATATTAATACAGTTATTAGCAAATAAGAAAAATTAGAAATTCAATCCTGATGTTTTGTGTAAAAGTACAAAGGAATTCCATTTTTTTGTAAGTGGTTGGGGCTTAAAAATTCCTAGTGTTTTATACAATCTAAGGCAAATAACATAATTTTACTGAAACATTTATTTCTGTAATTATTATTTCAGGATCTATTCAAACACTTGGTGCTCCTTTGGGTCAACCAATAGCATGGGCTACTCCAGGGGGACTTCAGTCTCCTGCTGTTCTAACTCAGAATCCCATATTCATAAGGAGCCAACATTCTGACATGTTTATTCAGTCACCTTCTCCAGCACCAGCAGCTTTACAGGCAGTGTCAATGGCAAGTGCAGGTGCTGTATCAGTCTCTGCCACTGGTATCCAAGTCCAGAAGCAAAAGCAGGTAAAAGATATTTAGCAATTTGAATAATATTTTTGTCAAAGCGTGTCTTTGCATTAAGATGTTCTGTAAAAAAAACAAAACCATAAGCCTTGAGGAGAGGATTTAGTTATTATATAAGGATTAAGTAATTTTATTTGCATTTTGTAATAGCATGTTATTATATGAAGTTCAGCAAAAGTAGTACACCAAACATGAATATATAGAACATTCAGTCAGTATTGGCCACCTATTTAGATCTCCCACGCCTAAAGCATATAACACCCAAAATATGTCGTATTTAGAACTACATTTGTTACACCATATATATAATTATACAATATGATGAGATAATCATGTTTCAGTAATCACTGAACATACAAAGCATTATGTTATATGCACTTTCTCTTGGTTTGATAGTTTAGGAACCCTATTTATTGTGCTTAGCAATATCCAAGCAAACTTTTCTGTTAGGATTATGACCACTGCCTAATAATCTTAAAAAAAAAACTGTACATAAGATGTAGGAGAAAAGAACTAGAAATATGGGATTCAAATCAGGCAGACTTATCCCTGAAATACAGAATGCTTTTTCTTGAGTTTGAACTCATGCTGCTAACAAAACATTTGGTTCAAAATTTCTGAATATTCTTTATACATTTAAATGACATATACTTCAAGTACCCATAATTTTCCACCTTCCACACAATTTATTGTTCATAGATCAGTGTATCTTACGTAAGCTCTGTACCTGGCATGGCTTGTTGGTTATGGCACTTGACTCTTAATCTGTTTGTTGCAGGTTTGAATTCTGTCTTTAAGCATGCTCATTATAATGTGAAGCTAAATGCAACTATTCATTGGTAAAACAGTAGACCAAGAGTTGGTGGTGAGTGATGTTGTTGATTAGCTGCCTTCCCTTTAGTCTGTTACTTCTAAATTAGAGGTGACTAGTGCAGATAGCCCTTGAATAGCTTTGTGCAAAATAAAGCAAACATGAAAATGTAAGCTCTGCTTTCCTGCCATAAGCTAGATTTCTTTGACAGTTGTGGTGTAACAACTTTGTCAGTTTGTATGCCTTTATTGGAGATCTTACTTTTGAAACTTGCCTGTAGTGTGCAGGTTGAAATTATTGATACATTCTCAGCATTGATAGTTCCATGTATTGATTCAGTTGCCTATTGATATTACTGATGGGTATGCAGTTTGGGTGGATGCTTCATTTGCATACCACTCATAGTTTGTTTTTGTTGATGATAGGCATTGATTGCTCAGGCCTTATTGCCTTTAGAGCCTGCAGAACTGGTTTTATCTGCTATAGTGCTAGCTCTAATCTTGAACACTTCTGCTGGTTTCAACTTTTGCTCTCAGGTATGTTTTATCTTTTCAGTATTAAACCCATTTTAATTACACTTGAGGGTGCTTGTGTCATGTGAGTTGATTTTTTTACTTGTATTTTCATTTCTTCTACTTTCTTTTTATTTTTGGGTTTACGATGTGGGTAAGTCTACATGACTTGATTCTTACATTTTTAGAATTAAAATGAATTTCAAACAATTACTTACCTCCTACCTCTGACACATCATCCCTCCCACCTCCCCTCAGCAAAATTTTAATCAAGACTGCAACTTTCAAACAAATCATAAATTATGGTAAGAAAGCAGAGCTTATGTAAGATCCACTTAAGCATGCTGAGTAAGTCATGAGGAAGATGGGAGAATGGAATTTTAAGGGTAAATGTTGAATGTGATATGGAAATGTGTAAAGAATATTCAAAAATTTCGAGTCACCTACTTTGTTAATGACACGAATACAAACTCAACAAGGAGAGGCTTTCAATATTTCAGAAGTAAGTACCTGTTTGAAGTTCATTTTAATTCTGAAAGTGTGAAATTTAATTTCAATGAGATATGAAACCAATAATTCTCACCACATAAGCACCGTAGAATTTTGTTCAGGACAAGAAAAAACATTTAAATCTTAATTACATCACTATACTTCATTAACAGTTTAAAATGGTGAAAAGTTAACAAAGTTTTCATTTACATTTTGTCATGCTAGTTAAATAAATAGTGAAGTGGGATTTGTTAACCTTGACTAAATTTTACAGGAATTCTGATGTGACATGACAAATTCTACAGCTAACATTTACCGCAGCACGCATGTTTGTCACAATTCACTAGATCATTGTGACATAATAAACTGAAAAATATAAGACAATGGTCATTTTCGAAATATCAATAAACATTTTTAGTATGTTATACAAACTAAAGTAATTATAGTGTGTAAAGTTCACTTGAATTTTCAGTCATATATTTGTTTTGTCTGTGTATGGATACAGGTACGTCCTGCTAGCTCAGTGGCTACTCAAACAGCAATTTCTACATCTTCATCTACACATTACCAATCAAATGCTTCTGTTCGCTCTCAGGTATGTGAATGTAATACACTTGTAAAGAATTCTTAAGACCAGAACATATTCATTTAAAAGACTTCAAAATTCATGGCAGTAACTGGTGTCTGATAGACACTATTTCAAGAAAGGCCATATCAGTAATCAGGAGCATCATTGTTGTTTGGGGTGTAAGTAATTTTTGATTTGGTGTCTGGATGAAAAAAATATCCCCTTTTAATTTACATAATATCAGCTTCAAATATAAACAAATGGTTTCATGAATTGGATTTTGAAATATTGGACATTTTATAAATCTTTGGAATTTTATGAATTTTAATTATGTATTGTTCAAAACATCTGAAGGATAATCAAATTTGTAATATTAGTTATTACAAGGCAAAACCTCTGATGTGAAATAATATCAATCAACCTTCAGTTAAGTTTTATGCAAATCAAGCATCTGATGATCAGTGTTGCGATCAGAAATGTAAGTTATTGGTCACTCAGATTACTCGCATAAATTAAAATTTAAGAGATATTGTTTTACATGTTTAATTTAGTGTACTTGACATACAAGATTATGGTCATTATGATAGCATGGCATGTATGTTAAGGGCTTAAAATCATCCTGAGTCATCCTTGACCACTTCTCACTTCACTGAAAGCTGTTTTAAGAGCATCCCAAATATTTTCCATGTGATTTAAGTCCTGTGAACATCAAGGGCATTCCATTTGGTTAGTTTCATGTCATTCAAGGAGTGGAATGTATTGACCAGTTTAGCAAAGTGGGGTGGATGTCATCATTCATTAGACTAAAGTCAGCTATTTGCATTAGCATATAATTGTGTCATTAATGATACAGTTCTGAAGGATGTATAAAGTTTTATGTCCACAGAGCTTATTTCTGTTGAAAACATACTTTCACCATTTGTATCACATTTCTATATGAAAAAGGAGTGGATTTCGTTTCATATTCTCTCTAGATTAGTGCAATCCTGTTATCTGGCTGTAAGGTGAAGGATGACTTTTGTTGCTAGTCGACTGAACATGTTCTTGGCACATTATATGCAAGCTTTCTCTGCCTTGCTATAAGTGAGGTGGATCTTATTAGGCCACCTGAGATGCAACTTGACCTTATGTTTCCAATCATCTGTACACTGACATGTCATCCAGTTGTAGCTGCAGACATCTGAATAAATACCCAAGCTTGTACTCTACAATTGTAGCAAATCAGGATCAACAAATAGCAGCTGTGTATCTTGTCTGAATGATCATGCCATTCGTTTCATAGCAGTTTCATATTTGTTAGAGCTAATTCACAACAACCTGCTGAGATTTATTGGCTTCTATCATTTAGATGGCTTTTCAAATGAGTAAAAACATCTGTATGTCTTCTTTTATAGTCTAGCCATGGTTCATAAACAGTTTAGACCTTGTTCTTTAAACTCTTTGATTCATTTCAGAGCAATGACTGACATAATATTGTATGAGATCACTTTATTTAGTTCAAGGTTAATGGACATATAATTTGCATTGCAGGTTGTAAGACTGATCATCAGATGGCTTATTTTCATGTTTTTCAACTGAAGGGTAATTGACATTATAACAGTAGTTTTGGCCTTGACAGAGCTATTAAAAATTTCAATTACATCTATTTTTTAGTTGTTTTGAGGAGTATATGTTACAGTAGATATGTTTTTGTGATTTACATCCATATGATATATTGAATAACTTTCATCAGTCATTAAATTTTCACATAGATATTTTATTCATAAGAAATACAAACCTTATAATTTAATATTTTGTGATGCATATTAAGTTGATAATATTATCATCAAAATAAAAAAAAGAAAACTGAACTTCTGCATGTTTAAACACTAGTTTTTGTGTTTTTTATTGTTTGTAAATTTCTTTGAGCAAAAATCTTCCACATATTCATATTCTAGTGCATCATAACTATAATGCTAAACACAAGTAATTTGGAAAAAAAAGTTATTACTGTTTAAGATATTAACTAAATTTTGTTATTCTTTGAAAAAGGTTAAACAAAGAGCTCGTGCTCAGATTGCTCGACAGACTTCATCTCAAGCCTCAGGAACACAAGCACAACAAGTTTCTCAGACAACTAGTAGCCAAACTCAAACTAATTCTCCTCAGAGCATGAAGGCTGATGCAGCTAATCAGACAAAGCTTTCTATTGATGCTCGTAGTCATAATATACAGAGTAAATCAACTGGCACTGAGACGAAACAGCAGTCAGCCCAGGTAAAGCCCAGTCATATTCCTGTCATCCCCATAACAACAGCTCTCGTGACAGCCACTACTGCTACAAACACTAATACTAACATTACTCTTCCTGTGATGGTGAGCAAGAAAGAAAAACGAGAAGAGGTGAAAAAGGAGAATGAAGTTTCCACCCAAACACTAAACAAAATCCCTGCTGTACCTAGATTCCTTGAGAAAAAAGATGCTGCCACAGGAAATGATGCTCATATCTATCCCTTACTACACGAACAGGCCAAAGAGAAACAGCCACAGAAAGCTATTGTCAAACCACATATTTTAACACACGTGATAGAAGGCTATGTTATTCAAGAAGCTCTAGATCCTTTCCCAGTAAGTGTGCTTGTCTACAGCATTACAATACATCTTTAACAGATGTAATGTAAAATGTCTTTTTAAATGCAAAATAGTAGGATTTATCATTTTATAAGATCAAAAAGTAAAATTGGTTGGGAGTTATTATTTGTGTTTTTCTACTTTTTGATTCTAATTAGAACTGTGAGAAATGTACACAATAGTACCATTGCATGTACATTATTAGTATGTTGACTGCATTATAGTAACTTTTCTTCTGTGCCATACTTCTGCTTCTTGACTCTAGAATGCCAATATGACCCTCATACAATTTAAACCTATATACTAAACTAACCACACTGGTGTTTTAGGGTTAAGTGATTTTTGGTGTAGATTTTTTACCATAATTTTCTGAATATAATATGTTCCCAAATATAATACACACTCTAGTCTTCATAAACAGAGAGTCAAGTTTGCCTTATCCCCATTAATAATATGCACCTAGTCTTTTGCAATACTAAGATCAAATTATCTCTTTGATGACAAGAATGTTAGTATGTCCATATAATCTAATTTCACATTCACTGTAGTGCTTGCTATCTTTGAAATCGTGATCTGTTGTTTTCTGTACCCTAACTATACAAGGTCATATAACTATAAAAAATGTTTTGATTTTCTAACTATGTGATAAGAGCCTTTAAAAAATTCAGCTGGCAACAAGAAACATCACTTCACCATCATACTTAGGGCACATGGAGATGGGACAAATATGTTGACATAAATTCAAATGAAAAACTCTCCCAAAGGATGTCAGATGGCCACAAGGTTTGATTTTCTGTACAGATGAAAAAGAATGGATAGATGACGGTTTGTCCAAAGACTGGTTCCGTAGCATGTGGTGCAGAGACCCCTCACAGGAATGTTGTAATGCTGGCCCTCAACATTTTCAGGTGTCATAGAATGATATGCATCAAGGACGTGAGATTTCTGTTGTTGTTACAGTTTAATAAATTGTTTTTTGTTTGACCCAGTTGTAGTAGTGTTTTGTTTTAGTTCATTATAAGTATATCCTGGATGAAAATTGTACAGATTTTGTCATCATTCCTGTGAGCGTGACAGGTCAGTTGCATGTGATGGACATCAGCTGCAATTGACCATTTAAACGTTAAATGTGCCAAAAGTGGAACAAGTAGCTCTACTTTGGAGAACGTGTGTTTACACTGTCAGGTAATCAGAAAGAAACGGACCTATTTCTCATTGCTCAACAGATCAAAGAAGCCTGGAACATTATCTATCCAGCCCTGATTTAGTGTGGCTGTAAGAAGTGTTGCCGCACAAATACCATGGATGGTTCAGAAGACAACGTCCACTGAGATGACGCTGCTACAATAGATAACGAAGATGAAAATGATGTCCTCGGTGATACCATTTATGGTGACAAGGACAGTGATTTGAACCTAGAATTTTATAGTTTCAATGAAAACAATTTGTAGTTTTGAATATCAAATGAAATGTAGCAACAAGTAGTTTATATTTCTAAACTTTTCAAAGTTTGAATGTAAATAAATCTTAAAAATCATAAGATTTAATCTCTTGATCATTTTACTTCAAAAATCATGTTTAAAGATGAATGAAAACAGGAGACAATTCTCATTTATGCCTTGGAAACAGAGAATTACTAAGACATACCATTGAAACGCAACATTTCTAGTAAGAATGCATTAGCATTCACAATGCATGTTGGAACAACATAGTCTGGTATGGCTGAAAAAAATATATTTTGATTTTGTACCATATTTTATATGCACCCTAACTTCTAGATAAATTTTTACTGTAAAAGATGTGTACTGTATTCTGAAAATTACAGTAAACTATTTTCTTCTTAGTTACCACATTATAAACTCTCACTATTGGTTTGTGTTACTATTATTATTTTTTTATATGTAAGTTCTTAGGTTACTTGATTTTACAAGTGTATATAGATTATGCCCTTTAATATGAAATTTGAATAAGTAGTTTTTCTCTAGCTTTAGAAACCTGTTTTACTCAAATTTAAAGCAGTTTTATGAAAATATCTAAAAAATACCTTATTTTATGCTCAGATCTTTCCAGTTTTATTATGTGTGTTCATGGTAGTTATTAAAATCTTATAAAAGCAGCATTTAATGCATCAGTAAAATAAAAAGTGTTTTCATTAATACAACCAACAAACAAAATGAAGTCCTTTCTTTTAGAATGATAAACTTAAACCTATTCATCAAGAAAGTTATATTTTAAGAGTTTTTTTAAGAAGTTATCAACTGAACAATTTATCTTACAGAGACAGGAAAACTAAGATATCTAGTCATGGTTAGTAAGAATGTAGAACAACAATGTAGAAGAATGTTTTAAGAAGTTATCAACTGAACAATTTATCTTACAAAGACAGGAAAACTAAGATATCTAGTCATGGTTAGTAAGAATGTAGAACAACAATGTAGAAGAATGTTTTAAGAAGTTATCAACTGAACAATTTATCTTACAAAGACAGGAAAACTAAGATATCTAGTCATGGTTAGTAAGAATGTAGAACAACAACAACAACTTAAAGGAAATAATAAAACACACAGCTATTGAGCAAATATTGACCTTGTAGTAAACTGTGGTTTAGAAGACTAAAAATCCTGGTTTATTTTCCATTATCAATTCAAATTATTGATAATGCACAGAAAATATATTTTAGAATATGGCATATAATATTCACAAAATTTAACTGCCAGCATATGCTTAATAGTTATTAACTTTTTTGTTAAAATTATATCTGTATGTAAAATTGGCTACTATAAGGTGCTTCTTCAGAAACATCTTGATCCCTTTGCTTTCCTTTATTTACAGATAATTGATATTTAACTTTACGTGTTACGTGAGGTATTGCACTTGACTCTTTGCTAAGTACATGTCCATTTGTAGACAAAAACTATTTTAGGGCTACTCAACTACTCATTAAAATATATTATGTTATCACTTACAGAAATCATGATTAAATGCCCTATAAACACCTCGTTTCAAAGCTCATTTTGAATTTTTTGTATTTGTGTATTGTATGTAATTAATTGGTATTTAATGAACAGGGAGGTGTTAAGTATATGTAAGTATAAATGATAATGTATAAGGTTATATACATATCATCTAGTTTTGGGGATGGAAAAATATTGTATATCTACTGAAAAATTTAAAAGTCAATAACACTTTACTTTTAGTCTCATAGTGGGTCAGAAGTAAGTTTATGGGTTTACAGTGCTAATATTCGGAGTTTGATTCCCTGTGGTGGACAAAATGCAGACATCTCATTGCATAGCTTTATTTATGCAAAAAGCAAAGAAATGAACAATTTGCTTTTAAGCATAGTTTTTAAACCAATGAGAAAAGTACAATTTATAGTGTTTTTTGTTGCTTTACTTTTGGAGTATGTGTTGGAAACAGCTGCATTTTATTCTCTGATGAAATGTTATAGATGTCATTTACTCCTGACTTATCACATAATTATAGCCACAATGTGTGACACCTAAAAATATAGTATTTCAGGTAGTCGACTGATAGCTCAGAGATAATAAGTGACATCTTGAAAAAGACAATACTGTTTGTTGTAAAGGGTCAAGATTTCCTTAAGTTTTTGAAAAAGTAATACTGTTTGTTGAATTTCATGTGATTTATTTATTGTGTTTGTCATGACTGTATTGTAATACCAGTTCAAAATTTAACAACTTAAAATTGTAATTTCTAGGTGAGCAGATCGGTTCTAACAGCCTCATCTCAAGCTAAACAAGTTTTATCAGGAAAACCAGTGTTGACTGGTGTCACTCCATCACTTAAAGGTTTGTTTTGCAGATTTAAGTTATATATAAGATTTAGTGTTTTGTCATACACTAAATTCTAAATATTATTTTTATGTATTAAAGTATTTTGTTTTGTCATACACAAAAATTACTGTTATTTTCAGTGATGTACAACTTTATTGCCCAGCATATTTATATATATCCATTTATATTAGGTTATTTATTAAGAAAAATTCTTGCTTACTTAAAGTTGAAGCTTTCAACATGGTGTTCAAAAATTTTATAAGCTATTGTAAAATCTAACATATGCAAAGCTTATTGAAAAAAAAGTACTGAATAGCATTGCAAAGAATAAAGCTGCATGTTCATTGCCATGTTTTCATGAATCCATGTGTGGGACTCAATTAAAATAAGTGCTTGATGAAAAGTAAATATATACAAGTGCATGCTAGAGGGGTAATAGCACTGGCTATAATAGCCTAGGTATCCCTCTCTCCACTCAAAACACCGGAGTCTTTGTTGCAGCAATGTTGTTGCACAGACTAAAGTAGGGTGGCCACCCCGTGTTTGATTCCATGACTTTTATATCCCACGATGAACACCATAACCACTAAGTTACTGAAATGCTTAGTACATAAAAGTATTAGTGACATTTTTTATATCAAAAGATAAGCCTGTCACTTGTGTTTGCTCCCTTTACTATTTTTTGTAATATAGAATATAACACCTAGGAACTTGATTTAGCACTGATATTTTTACGAGCCACGAACAATCACTACACAGGTTTAAGGAATTATGTTGCTGGCTGGTACACAGAGTAATCTGAACTTATTTTAAACATAAATAAATGTTGGTCTGCATTGAAAAAATACAGGAGTTTATAGTAACATTGAAATCAATTAAAATATTTTGGATGGAGCTTCTGATATTAGCCAGTCTTATTTGATGGCACAAGTTAGTTTTTTGTAATGCTACATTACATCTGTGCTTGGAGAAATAAGTTGTTGGAAACAATCATCATATATTAAGAGTATATTAATTTAAAAGAAAAAGTTGTGAAAACTCAATTTGTAACAAAAATTGATGGATAGGTGTGCTCTAATATCAAACTATATTAGAAACAACTATTCAAGTCATTTTGAGTTTTATCATTCTGTTTCCACAATATTGGTAGTTACAAGGTTCTTCAATTTTGTATTTATATAAAAGCTCAAATAGTTTAGAAATTTCCTATCCAAAATATTTTCAGTGGAAGTACGTGTACTGCTTAGCACAATATAAGCACTGTTCAATGAATGGCATTATATCAGTTGTGCTCCTCACATTATCAAAATTATTTTAATTTAAATGCCTGTTTGTGAAAGATAATAATATTCATTTCTGAATACTGTTGTCTGTGAAATACACATTTAAAATCATCAGTGTATTAGTCACCTTTTTTGTCACATGAAGAAATATTTGAAGTTTTATGTGATTCTGAATTTTCTCATTTAAACATGAGTTCTTAACTAGCTGTACAGTTTGCAGTTTCCATTTCATCTATGTCTGAGATAATTGACTTGCTGAGTGAAGGCAGACTTACGCTATATAGTAGTAAGAGAAGTAAAGAAATATATTGTTATTTATAGTTTACAGTAAGTACAGTAAAATAATTCCACATAGTTCAGCATATGGGCATAAGACTTAAATATAAAACTCATTTTAATTGCGTGATAGTGACAGAGTTTATATTATTTATTTGAATAGTTTTAACATTTACATTGCATAGAGTGATTAATTTTTGTAGTGTAACTTATGTTTTTATAGAGGGATTTATATGCTTTTTAAATCTAGTATTTTAATGAAATTTTAAAAGAACTCTAGTCCTTTGTAATACAAGTTTTGAGTGAATACAATGTGCTTGTACTTTTGTAAATCATACAGTAATATCAAAAAGTTTTTGGGTCCTAGAAAATAGATAATTAATTCTTGGAAAGGTTGTGAAACTTTCTTATTGGGAAATTGTATGAATCCTGTAGTTATTTTGCTTCAATCCATTTGACAAGCCTTTTAGACAATTACAGAATTTGTTTCCATCATTATTTGTTACACATTTTGCACTGTTGCTGCAATATGGTTATTTTATTTGTATTTTTGTAAATTTTAATATCAGAATACGCATATAGAAATTTTCAGAATTAAAATGATTGTGCAATTTTTTATGTGTCTTTAGCTGAAATATGTTTTTTAAAAAAGTATTATTTGGTCCCTGAAGAAAATTTTGCTCTTTATACAGACGGAGAATAGTAAATGTGTTAAACAATTTACTATTAAGTGTATATATATGTCAGCTAGAGGAATTTCTTGTTGTTTAGCTGATAGATTTATAAAGATAATAGTGATAGAACCTTTTTCAATGCCATTGTGTTAAACATTTCAAAGCTAATAAAGGAGTGAGTATTAAGAATTTAAGCTATTGCTTGTAAACCTCACAAATAATGGTTTGAAAATGAAAACTTAAAGAAAACAAAAAAACTTTGCATTTCTCAAAAATCTGAAATTTTGTTTTGCGTGCAGGAAAGAACTATTTAGAAATGGTTATGGCATTGCATTGATATCATTTCTTGAATGGGAGAAAAGTAACTGTGTACTGCATGGAGATTTTATGCAATTTTGGCTTTCCACAAAAGGAAAAAAGTAAACGTTTTATAAGCTGGGTTTTGTGTCTTGGTCGTTTCCAGGACTAGTTTTTTTTCACTGTTGATGGTTTGATATGTGATTATACTATGTGTTTCTACCTTTGTACATGTACTGTCAATTTATTTATTGTTCTGAATATAAGCAGGTTTCACATAACACATGGTCCAGAAAACTGTCATATTGATCATGTTTCAAGTTACCTTTGTTTCTTTGTTGTTCTCAAAGAAGGCAATACCTGTTACTACATGTGGAGAACATTGGTTAATATGACATTACCTAAGAATGTCAACAACAATGTCCTTCAGCAGTTGTAATAAAAATGACCAATTATGTGGGTAATGCATGTCATTCTAGTAAAATGCAAGTTATTTTGGAAACTAAGGAACCTGACATTTGGTTAGTCTGAAATTTCTTCTTCAACTAGTCAGTCTAATCTAGGACTTGATCTTGTCCAGTATCATTATTTCAGTTAAGTAAGAGTTTTAGTTACTCTTTATAATTGATATATTGAAAACATCTCTTGTTATTTAGTGCAGCTATTTGATTGCTTGAACACATATTCTGTTCACATGACTATACCACAAAGGTAATGAGTTGCATAAATCTACATCTTTATTTCCTTCAGACATTTTGAATGTATATAATTCAAACTTGAGAGAAACAATTTCCATCTAATTAATATACCAGTATCCAAGTGGTATGGCACATTCTGCTGCCTTGATTGTACTAACATAGTGACACATGTTGTTAACCATGAGCAGGTGAAGATGGTCAAGTTGAATCTTTGGTGCAAAAGCTTTTTTCCAGGCTACAGTGTAAAGCCTTCTTGATCATGTATACTTAGTATGTATTACATTAATATATTAAAAACTGAATATATTCATTGCATGTAAGACTTTTTTTTTTTATTATACTTTCCTCTGATTTCCTAATTTTATTCCAATGAATCATTTGCTATTTATTTACGACATTAATTTTGCCTTTTTTGAAGTACCTAACTGATTATATCTAGGAGATTTCATTCCTTGTTTCACAGGAAAAGTAGGAAAAAGGAAGCGAGGTCGAAAAGCATGGAAAAAATGGAGAAAGCAAAGTGAAAAAACAACTTACAAAGCTATTAGTAGCTGGGTAAGTGTAGGTGTATTTTTATTACCCTTGTTCAACAAACTGAGTAAAGAAATATTTGTTTAACCATTGTCTGTGTGTATTTTTTCAGAGTGACCACAAATTTGGATAAGTCAGGATTTGAAAAATGTGATAAAAAAATTCCTGGAAAACTGTGCCCTCCTTTTTATTTCTGGACCTGTATGTGCACCCAAATCTGTTACTTAGTTCTGCCAATTATTGGTGTATTATAACATAACCTTGGTCACACACTGTTATGCTATTCTGATATGGTATCTTACCTCCTCTCACACTTATAACTATTTTTTATTCATTGCTGCTTTCTATATGGAAAAATGTTTTCACATGCCAAAAAACTTGATCTCCCACTTACCCAACGATTAACATGGTTCACTGCGTCTTCGCATGCAAATCATCATGTGACTCCCTCTTTTTGATTCTACCAAATTATCACTTCTCATTATACAGTTGTTTAGTGCAGATGTTTTCAATTGTGCTCTTTTCACACATTGATTTCTTGTTTTTTGGGTGAAGTAGTGCTATACTATTTATTATTATTTTGCTATATTTGGTTCTCTGTTTTTGTTTTTGCCACAATAACTTACCTTTGTTAGTTAATTTTTTTTTTATCTTTTCAAACTTTTCATAGTCGATTGTGAATTCTGATGTTCATGTTATGACTTCTGATTCTCTTCCCACTACTTTGAATGTTGTTAAACAGGCTTTGGGTCAGGGGATCTCAGCTGAGGATTTTTCAGCCATCATTTGTCAGGTGATTTATCTTTATATGAGTCGATCTTCTTCGGGTTCCTTCTATATCGTCTGAACCTGTTTATGATGAGGAGGATTTTAACATCCTTTTTCCTCCACCTCATTATGCGTGCCTTATCAATCCTCCCCTGTGGAATCTGCCAGGCCTTCCTTAGCTTTTTGGATATGATTTCTCAGGTGTGTGTGTGTGCCATTTTATCTCTTTCCCCAGTTTTTTATGATCATATTCCTTCCTTGTTACATGACGTACAGTCATTAGAGTACCGTGTTTCCGCTCCTTCACCTGACATCAGGTTACATGCTGAACATTTTGTTTTTTAGTTGAGGGCTGGAGCTAGCATGCCTCATCCTTGATGGGCTTCTGATCATTATGTTTTGACTTATCATCAGGCCAATTAACCTTTTGTCAACTCCCAACAGTTGTAGTTACTTTTGCCAGTGTGAGGGGGCAGACCCTGAGAATCCTATCCATTTGTTCCAAGCCCATTTTTCCTGACTTCATCTTATCCTTACTGCTGTTCTATGGTATTTGTCTTCCATACACCTGCTTTCAGAGTCATTCTACTGTTCCCCTGAGTGGTTTTTGGAAGATACCCATTGCCTCCATTTTGGCAAGATTGTCCTCCTCAGCCCTATCACTTCACACATTGTTTCTTTTCTTTGCTGTTGGGACCTACTTGGGAGATATATTGTTCTGTCCCAAGTTCATCTCCCTTCCTCATATCTTCAGGACCTACGGATGGCTCCTTTTTTCCATTGGTCTGTCTTTGGAGATATTCCTGAGTCTTTAGAGTCATGTGTGGAGTCTATGAGACAACACTCAACCGTTTCTTCTTTGGTTGCCTATTTGTCTCACCCTGCTACCGTGCCTGTTTCCCATTCTGCTCCCTCCTGTTTTTTATCAGCTCTTACCACTATGGGTTCGATGTTTAGTCAGGTGTCTTGACGTCAGGTTCACTGCCGGCAGCAGTTTCGGTGACTGTCAGGTGGTTTCCAGCCCGGTGGAGCACGTTTGGCCAATTTTGTTCACATGTGGTGAGAGTTCATTCCTAATCCATTGATGATCTAGGTTTTATCAGATGGACTTTTTACCTATTTCCTTTCCCCTTTTCCTTTGTCTCCTGTACGTATAGACTTCCTGTTACCTCGGGATCCCATACCAGTCTGTGTCAATCTGAGGCTTTTCAGACTCTTCTATCCAGTGTGCTATTGAGCCTGTCAGCCAGCATTCCCCAGGTTTTTACTCAAGGTTTTTGTCACCCCCAAGAAAACTGGGGACTGGTGTCCTTTGATCGATCTGTTCAGTTTCTGGATTTTCCCTGCTTTACCATGGAATCCTTTCTCACACTTTCTCCATATTCCTATTTTGCATTAGTCCCATTGCTACCTTCAGTTTGTTCACTACAGGGTTGTGTATCAGTTTCATGCTTTGTCTTTCAGGCTTGCTTCAGCACTCTATATCTTTTGTCAGGTGATCAAAGCCTTTGCCTGACTTATGCATGCTCGACTGGATGATTGGTTCCTGTTAGTGTTGAGTCTTCTCAACACATTCGTTTGCTATTGACCGAAGCAGATCAAGTTGGTTGGATTCTCAAGCTAGAGAAGTCTTTCCTGATGCCTACCCAATATCTTGTTCACTTCGGTGTGTTTTTCAATATGTACCCTCAATCGAGCCCAACCTTCTCCACTTCATCTCCATTTGATGGAGCTTTCAGTTCTCCATGCCCTTTCTGCACATGAGATTCTATTGCTGTTGAGGACTTAGGCAACTATGAAAGGCCTTATCCCCTTGGGTCGGGCACATATGCATTCTTTTTTTTTAGTGGACATTGCACAACCAATGGAATCTTACTCAGAATTTCTTGGACTCCACAGTTACCTTTCCTTCTTCCATTACAGACAATCTTCATTGGTAGTTGGACAAAGACAATGTGACGATTGGGGTACAACTTCCTCCATCCTGTCTGGATTTGCATCTGTTTGCTGATGCTTCTCTCCATGGTTGAGGGGTGTGGGTTCAATCAGTGATCTTGGAGTGAAATGTCATACCATATCAACATCTTGGAGCTTCTGGCAGTATGACATGCTTTGGATCATTTCCTTTCTATTGCATGGAACCAACTTGTCATGATCCACTCGGACAATTCCACGGTTGTAGTCTATATCAATCAACATCTCATTGTGTGTCATGTTCCATGTGCTTTCAATTTTGTGGCCAATTGTCTTTCCCAACTCAATCAGGTTTATCCCATGGAGTGGTCCCTTGACCCTCGAGTTTTCCAATGATTCTGCAATCGTTGGAGTACTCCTTATCTGAATGCTTTTGCCACTTTCCTCAACACCAAGTTACTCCTTTTATGATCTTTAATTCCTCATCTTCTGGCCTTGGCAGTGGATGCTTTCAGTCAGGACTGGACCAACCAGTATCTTTATGTCTACCCTCCCATCCAACTCCTTCCCAGGGTGATTTCAGTCATCCATTCCACTTCTGATGGTCCTTCTGATTACTCCTTACTAACTGGCACAACCTTGGTTTCTTTGTCTCCTTCATCTCCAAACTAACCCCCAATACCTCTTCTCAATCTATCCCTCCTCTGTCAGCCTCCATCATTTGGTCCCTTTGAAGGAGATCTGGATTGTCAGTGCATGTTACTTCCCTTTTAACATGGACCATTTCATCCTTCCTCCACAAAAGTAAAACAACGTAAGTTGAACATCTTTCGCCATTGGTCTTTGAGTCAGGGTCTTTCCCCCTTCTCAACTTACTGTTCCTCTTCTTACGGAGTTCCTCACCTGGCTGTTTGATCATGGAGCTTAAGTCTCTTCCATAGCTGGTTATAGAGGAGCACTATCCAACACCTTCCATTTTTCAGGTACTGTATGGTAATTTCTTCTCCTACTGCTTCCCTTTTATTATATTCTTTCCAGATTTGTCAATCTCTTTGTCAAGCAGTTCTTCCAGACAGGAATGTCAGTATTGTTCTTCACTGCCTTACTCTCCCTCCTTTTAAACTTTTATCTTTATGTTCCCTAAATCACCTATCCCTTAAAACTTATTTCCTACTCCTTTTAGCCTGTAGGTGTCATCAGAGTGATATCTTAGCCATTAACGTTTCATGTACCCTATTCCATTCCACATTTTCTCCTTTATCCAGATTGATCTTTCCTGCCTAAAACTTTAACACCTCGTGAGGGACATTCTTCCGTTTTACTGATTTCCCACCTTTATTCCTGGTCTGATCCGGATAGGCTTTTATGTATCATTCCTGCTCTTCATTGTTATATTGCTCGCACAGCCTCTTTCCGTGGTTCCTTTCCCTGCCTTTTCAATCCCTGGCAACTTTTTTCTTTACAAGACCTTTGTCCCTCTACTCTTACAGGTTGGGTTCATTTAACATCCTTGTTTCCTTCATCCTGCAAGCTGTTCCAGGTGTTGTTGCATCAGATCAGACACCTAACCTTTTCCTTGGTGTCTCATCTCCATCATTTGTTGGAAGAAATTCTTCAGTCGGATATGTGGACTACACCTCATACATTCATCTATCACTACCTGCATCTGGTGGCTATTTCTTCCTTGTCTGGGTATCTCCTTCTGCTTGTTGCCATTTTCCCGAATGACTGGCTGTGGTTATGGATTTGTGCACATGTGACCTGTTGGATGGATCGGTTTATTAAGTATATCCTTCCATTCTGGTCAACTTGAGGTGATGACATTGTTGACCCTCTTCCTACCATGGTTCGGAAGATGTATGGCTGATGGCACTTGGTTTGGACTGTAGTTGACTGGCTGCTTATGGTCCAATAAGCTCTAGCCATTCTACACTATGGGGTACATCCTTTTTTAGTTTTAGTTTTTTTTGATATATGCACCTCCTACTTTCCACCTGTGTATGCAACACCTGCTTCCATACTGGGTGAAGAGTATATCTGGTACATAAGTGGTGCAGTACATGTGTTCCCTTCCCAACAGGGGTCACACTTCAACGGTGTTCTTTGGGCATTTTTAAATGATACTTCTCTATATCCCTTGCACCAATCCTCCCACATTGAAGAAGGAGGTGACAGGAGGTAAGATACCGTATCGGAATTTATTATTTTCCTATACTGAAAATATAATTCCTCTCACCCTTCTTCCTCACTTAAAACTGGTGCTTCCTTTCTGCCTAATCTCAAAGTGATAATTTGGTAGAATTGAAAAAGAGGGAGTCACATGCGTCAGGAGGGTGTGTCACACTCCTATTGGTGGAGGGGTGTCATATGATGATTTACATGAGAAGAGGCAGCGAACCATGCTAATTGTTTGGTAAGTGGTAGTTCAAGGCTTGTGGTATGTAAAAAAAGTTTTGCATACAGAGGACAGCACTAAACGATAATAGTTATAAGCATGAGAGGAAGTATGAACCTATCGGAAATATATAAGTTTAGTGTAGGAAATAATAACTTTTATCAGGTAATAATCATCTACATCAGTATATTATTTTATGATATGTTACATCAAATCTTATTTTGTAAATAAAAAAAGTCAGTGTTTTTTGTACATCATTAAGCTGTAATGTCCATGTTTGTAGATCTTTTTTTTTTGTGTGTACCAAAAGCCTGAAGTATATGCTAAGGTTTTTATTACTTTTATAAGCAGGTTACAAATCAGAGTGGTGTTAATCAAATATCCACTACCGGCACTTGTGTTTAAAATTTTTTAAATTATAATAAATAATTAAAAACAACGTTTTATATTTACACAATAAAAACTTTATTGAAGCTGTATGGCTTCCACTTTAAAATATCTCTACAAGTACATGTTTCGACGTGATCTACGTGGTGTTAATTAGATAGAAATATGTGGAAAAAGACTGAATTGTCAGTGTGAAGTCTGGAAAGTCAAGAAAAATTTTTTTGAAAGAATGATGTAAACACTCTATTAATAAAAGCTTTTAAAATTTGATAAAGTAGGAAGATTAACAACAGTTGTTATTGTTGTTAGTACACAGTCAGCTGTAATTTTTTTATAAATTAATTGAATGATTTTTAAAGTCTTTTAATTATTGATTTATAATTTTATTTTTCTGCTGAGAAGAGATTTGTTCTACCCACACACTGAACATGTGCCCAAATAACTGCTACTTTTACATGATGTTGTAGTCTCATCATTAAGGTTAGTTGACTTTTATCTGTTGATCTGGAATAAGTACTCTGTGGAAGCTAAAGATAACCATGGCTATATTTATTGCACTATCAACACTGTTGACAACATACATTCAGTCCTGCAGTAGTGTGGCTGCATTAGGAAACAACAAGACTACAGTAGATAGTAGAACATACTCAATGCTGCAGTAGTGTGATCACAATAGTAAATAGCATGACTACAACAGATAGTAGAACATACTTAATGCTGCAGTATTATGATCATTTTAATAAACAATATGATTACAACAGATAGTAGAACATACTTAATTCTGCAGTAATATGAACATTTTAGTAAACAGTATGACTATAACAGATAGAAGCACATACTTAATGCTGTAGTACAATGACCACCATAGTAAATAGTGTGACTACAACAGATAAAAGAACATACTTAAAGCTGTAGCATTATGTTCACCATAGTAAACAATGACTACAAAAGATAATAGAACAATGCTACAGTATTAATGACCACCACAATAAACAATAGGACTATAACAGGTAGTAGAACATTATGATCTGCTTGATAAAAACAAACTTAACAGTTTTATATATGTAATATTAAAACAGTACAATAATAAGTATAATAAGTAACACTCTTAATGCTAGAGTAGTGTGACTATCATAATGTATAACATGAACATTCTTGACATCTTGCATGCTTGGGTAAATAACAAGAAATATTTTTGACAGCTTCATACATAACACTGAAATAGCATGAATTATTGTAGTAAACAATGCAGCTATGAAAGACAGTTTCACAAATTCTACTGAATCGACTTTACCACCACCGTAACCTGCAAGTTCTGACAACTGGAAGTTAACTAAGAGTGTGCTTGCTACAGAATATCTAGTATAAGCTTTAAACACTGTGCTGATGTTTCATAGCAACAGTATTAAGTTGAGTGCAATTAGATGACAAAGAGCATTTGCTCAAAACATTAGACCCGGCATGGCCAGGTGGTTAGGGCAATTGACTCGTAATCTTAATGTTGTGTGTTTGAACTCCTGTCACACCAAATATGCTCACCCTTTCAGCCATGGGGGCATTAAAATGTGATGGTCAGTCCCATTATTCATTGGTAGCCCAAGAGTTGGCAGTGGGTGGTGACTAGCTGCCTTCCTTCTAGTCTTTCATTGGTACATTAGGGATGGGTAGCGCAGATAGCCCTTGTGTAGCTTTGTGCGAAATTCAAACCAAACCTCAAAACATAGTAATAATTAATTTCAGCTATGTTTTAATGCATTTTTACAACTATAGTTAAATATGTTGAATAGCTCAATTGATTATATAATTATATGTAGAAAGTTTCTTGATCCACATGTGTTTTTAGTATATTTAAGGTACAGTTTCTAGAAGAGTATAAAGTACCCTAATTTAACTTTGAAATTTTAAATGTCATTTATGTTTTATGCTAACAGAAGAAGTCACTGATTATATGAAAAAGAAAAGATGCCAAGTAGAAAGGAAACTTATAGTTTGTTTTTCTGTTATCCTATTCATTCCAACTGAATAAACCAGGTGTCTGGATTTGCTTGAGTGTAAGCTGTTTGTATTTATTGGAAACTTTTTCTATTTAACAAGAAATGAGTAACTTACTGGTATTTGCCATTTTAAGAACCAAGGAGATGAAGTTAGTGCCATGGATTCTCAGATAGGAAATGAAGAGTTAACAAAGCAGGTGACTCAAATGGAGGAAACAGAAGGAGAAACAACAGACACACCTTCAGGACCAGAGAGTTCTGTGTCTCCAAACACACCTTCCAGTCATCGGGAAGAGATGGAGGTTGAGACTCAAGAGATTGGTGCAACCCCAAATAAAAATCCACTGAAATGGACGGTAAGAAACATTAAAAATGGTGAGGTTCTAAGACAATAACTTGCCTCTTGACACAAAAATGCTATTTTTGTTGTACATCTGCCTGTGAAGTTTGTATGCCATTAGCCTTGAGCTAATTCCCACCTAAATTCATGTGTTTAACGTGAACTGTGCTGGTGACATAACCTCCATGCACAATCACTCTCCCTATGCACTTGCACTCCTTATAATTTCATTATTCTCCTCAGCATTAAATGGAACAGGCATGTTGAAATTTCTTGTACAGTTTGGTGAGATTTGTGTTTGTTCATGGAACTTTGGTTTTGTTTCAAAAGTGTTGATTCTTATCTTGTATTTTCAAATGATGGTGACTTCTGCTTAGTCCTTAGTGAGTGATGATGCTACACACACTGGCCCTATTTGTGCTATAGCCTCTGGAGGGTTGTTGACTGTTAGAGATGTTGCAACCTTTGTTCAATGTGCCATGGATTATGACATGCTTATTGGGCCTCCTATTCCTGTCCTTTCAGCCAGTGTTCTTTCTCCTTGGTCTTGAATGGCCTGTTGTTCTTTGAAGTTAATTTATTTTCTTCTTGTAGTGTATTATCATTTGAGAAATTATCTTAACCTTCCAATCTGTTTATGGATATCATTCTCAGATATGTTCTTTTCCATATCTTTCACCCATGTCCTTTAATATTGGCTGTTCTTTACTCCATGAACCCAAATCTTGGGGCTGCTTTGTTTTTCCTCCTTTTCTTGTTATTAGAGTGTATGCTGTTTCCTTTCTCTTAACAGTTTCTCACTCAGACCCGCAATCCTTATCCTCTTTGTGTTTGTGACTTTTGTCCTAAATTATAGACACTTTTACCTTTCCTTTGGTATCTAGTTGGCCTGCTTGAAGAATGGGCACCTTGCCTTTTGTTTTACTGTCTGGTTCCCCATTTTTGCATCTTCATCTTTTTCACACCACCCTCCTATATTCCCGTTACTCCCTCCTTTTGTCTGAGGCACTTCATTACGCTCCAGAGAAGATTTCTGAAGTGATTTCTTCTCTTCTTTTTGCTAATTTAGCTTGTTCTACTTTCCTTCTGCTCTGTTCCTTCTTACCTTGTTACCCTGCTGTTGGGTTGAGTTGTATTCCTCTTTATTGTATACCTTCCTCCTCTTCGTAAAAATGGTTTTCATTGGGTTCCTATTCTTCACTTAGAAGTCTTTGATGGTGTTCATTTCTCACTGTAGACCTAGATTGATGTTGCATGACTTCTGTACTCATTATTTTCCCATGTTTTTCTACTTTATCTACCTTACCCTTTTACTCCTGTTCCTTGTCTAGATAAGTCTATTCCTACCCTTCCCATTCCAGGTTCCAGGCCTTCCTCTTTTTCTTGTCCTTCCACTACCTATGATCTGGTTCATTACTCTTCCTGTAATTTCTATCCTGTCATTTCAGGCCCTGTGGGTATCCATTGCTTCCTTTTTGCCAGCTGTTGGCCTCTGTTTCTGCCAACAAATGAATTTCATGTTTTTTTTTCATGGTCTTTATTTGCATACTTCTCTTCTCTGTGCTCTTCTTACCATTTCCTTTTCTCCTCCCTCTGACCCTGTCTATGATCGTTTTCACCCAATCTGTGGTTGGTCATGGTCAATGTGTTGGACACCTTGCCTACACATCCATATTGCCCCATCATCCAGACATTTCTATGTTCTGTCCATCAGATTCACATCTTCCAATTCCTTGTTCTTCCCTTCACCATAGCATCAGCCTCTTTCCTTTTACCCCTACTTGATTGGTCTATCAACTCCTCCGGTTGATGTATTATTCCCTGGATGTGAATACTTACAGGCTGTTTCGCATTTCTTTTGCATCCAATTTGTCACCTTTCTCATTCTTTTGCTTCCTATTTTTGCTGGCCTTTGGATATGATTCTTCAGGCAAGCATGTAAACAACTCCTCATACGTTCATAACTCATTATCTTCACCATCCGACCTTTTCATCTCCCGCAGAATTTTGACTCCCACCAGTTGCTATACTTCAGTCAATCCTCTGTCTTTGATATGCATAAGTATGTTTCCTTTTCATTTTTCTTTCTTTCCATCAAACAGGATCCATCCAGGTTGCTGGTGTTGCCTCCCAGGGTTTGCTTATTTCCCAAAATCTGCATTGAGCCAAGATAACGGAAAGTGTTCAGCTCATTAACCTTGTCTTCTAGGGCATACTGCAAGATGGTGTGTTCTGCAAGGCTCCATAAAAGCACACCCATGGGAGAACATAGATCAACCATGGTTTACTCTTTGCCTGAGATGACAGGAAGGAAGAAACGGGGATGGGCATAATGTGATCTTGACCAACCGAGCATCTGAACACAAGTGGCCAGCGAGCCAATATATGTAGTGTGGTAAGGGTGTGATCAGAGTGTGTGGTGTGTGTGCTCACCTCAACTCTACTGGACAGACTCTAGCTGCAGGAAGACACATTAGTGGCCCTACTTCTCACCTTACTGTGCAAGGCCCAATCTATGAGGATTCTTCATAGTCTATCACCCCCAATGTCCAGGAACTGAAAAGTGGAAAGGGTCTCCTGTGCTCCATTTGAAAAGGATGGGGGAAAAGCCCCCAGATCCACATCGGACCATCAACCGGAAAAGTCTTTAACTGGAGCCAGTGAAATGTGTGACCATGACACTCTATTTTTAAAAGAAGGCAAGTGAGAGTCAAAGAAGTAAGCAGTCACTTCCCTGGTGCTGGGTTTTTCCATGATAGTCCATGGAATTGATATGGTTTGGATCAAACAGTTGAGTAAACTTGTATACCATGAGGATATCTCAAGTGGTCTCTACCATTTGGTGTCACACTCCATGGGCTTGCTCTTCGGGCACTTTCTGAAGGGAGCTCATCTACATTTAATTTTTGGACCAGCTCCTCCACCACTTCAACTTAGCAATCTAGCATTTCTGTGCTTGGAAGTTATCATCACAGAATTTAACATTATCCTAATCTGAAAATGTATTTCCAACTGATACTAACCTCTACACACATATTCCCACCTGTCTACCCCACTTTTAGTGCACATTTTTTTTTCTTATCTTGTCTAAGAATGAAGTTATCATGAGTGCAAGTACATAGGGGGAGTTACTACACATGGAGGTTGTGTTATCCTCCTATTGGTGATGACATTATCATGCACCAGCACAGCCCACATTAAACACATGAATTTAGATGGGATTTAGCTCAAGGCTAGTGGCATGTAAATCTCGTAGGCAGACACATGAGGGAAATAACATTTCCGTTAGTGGAGCTGAGTATCTGTTGGAAATACATTTTCAGGTTAGGAATATTTTAATGTTGTAGCAACTTATTCTGCCTTACTCAATAAAGAAGTTTTATAGGTTAAAGTTTTTTATTTCTATTGTACTTGAAACCTAAAAGAGATATTCACATGGAAGTATCATCACTGTATAGATATGAAATTTGTGACCTATGAGAACAACTTGAATTCTTTCTTCAAATTGTAAATGTAATTAAAAAATGCAACTTCTTTCTTCTTAAAGTTTATAAATTGAGTAAATTAATTAATACTTACAGCTTCATTTAAAACAAAAAATTTTTGTTATTTAATGAATTAAAAACTAATGGACTGTTGATGATGAAACAGGTTCTAGAAGTGTACGAGTATATCCGTGGGCTTCCTGGCTGTTCTGCTTATGCAGAAGAATTTCGTTCTCAAGAGATTGATGGTCAAGCTCTCCTACTGCTCAAAGAGGACCATTTAATGTCTACAATGTGTATGAAGCTTGGTCCAGCTTTGAAGATTTGTGCTCGCATCAACACATTAAAGGATGAAATACCATGAAAACTGATAATTACTGGTATTTGTATTACACTAGGCATTGTTATGAATTGTGCTGGCTCTTAAGTTTGACAGAATTATGTTATACATTATACTGTTGTGCAGCTGTAGCATTTTTAAGTAGCATTTGTTCATTTGTCACTTATAAACATAGCTTTTGTTATTTTTGGTCAGTGGATAAGTTATTCATATGTTTGAGTATGGACTTAGATATAGATTGTTGCAGCATGAATTTTGTTCATATACAGTCATGGAATATCAAGTATCAATATTATTGTAATCTTTTGTAAGTTTGAAAATGTGTTTTTCTTTCTTTATATGTTGATGGATTATTGTTATATCCTATCCTAGTTTTCAATTTGGTAAGTTATATTGGTTATTGTATCATATTGCAGTACAGGTGTGTGTGTGTGTGCTTTTATTTTCTGTTTTTCATTAAGTAATATGATTATTTTAATGTTTTATTAAGAATAGAAATTTTTTACATAATAAGTTTCATCAAATTATTTTTCATTCACTTTTCTCTCTCTCTTAAATCTATATTGGTTCATTGACAGTAGCACAAGAGAGTGGCCCTAAGTAATGTCCTGCTAACACCTCAGTAAACAATTATTTTGTGGTAATATCTGCTTACGTCACTGTTGAAATTCTTACCTAGGTAGTCTACATATTACATATCATCGTATATTTTGTTAATTAATATGTGTAATCTGACAGTGATTTTGAATTCTTTGTGTTGTTTTTTAATGTTTATTTTTTATCATGAAACTTGCTCTTCTATTGATCATACAGTTTTCCTTTGACATTTTCCAGTAACAGTTTACATCTATTGATCATACAGTTTTCCTTTGACATTTTCCAGTAACAGTTTACATCTATTGATCATACAGTTTTCCTTTGACATTTTCCAGTAACAGTTTACAAACCAAATCTATTTACTCTAATCTTTTCTGTTTTTTACTGTTGTCTGTTTTTGTGTATTTTCTCTTATCACAAGTTGTTAACCTAATTGAAACCTTGTAGCAGTTAGTTTGTCTATCTGTTCCTTCAGGCATCATTGCTCATTATGTTTGTATCTATATTGAAATTTTTGATATAACAAGTTGTATTTAGTACCATTAGAACTGGGATTTTGTGCTGTATAATATTTAAAATCTGCTAAAATCCACTTTGGGGAAAAGGTTTTATATGCAAATTAGCTAAAGTAACTTTTTTGAAAAATGTTTTCTTGCATATGCTGAAATACAAGATTGGTTATTGACTTGATAAGCCTGAAATCATGAATTGTTTTGAAATTGTAAACATAGATTAATTTTTTTGAAAAAATGTATACCTTGCCTTTAGAAATTTCAAGAACAAATAATGGTAGTAAAGCTGTGAAATCAAAATATACTAAGTTCGTTTTTTTTTCTTTTTTTTTTTTTTTATCTTTGTAGCTCTGCACGAATCAAGAAGGAGAATATAAAGAAATGAAAGGGATAAGAAGGGTGGTGCTGGCTTTTTATCGTCTAGTATTTTGGTTTAAATAATTCAAAAAGAAGGGTAATCTTGTGTAAGTTACAAGGCTTTTTATGTCCTTGTTGGGTCACTTGACTGAATCCATATTGAAAAACTAATTAACTTCCTGGATGGATTTTTCCATTTTTAAACAGCAAGCAAAATGGCTGTGATTTATTTCAAAGCATAACATAATTAAACTTTCTTGTAACAAACCAGGCAGTATAAACCAGACTTAAGTGTTGTAATCATTATTTTGATTGTTACAATGGGAATTAGAATAATGATAGAGATTTTAACTTTTTTATAATAGTTTTATTTAATAACCCAACACTTCTGCATGTTACTTAATTGCAATACAATAATAATACTATGAAAATGGTTATGTACTGACTGAGGGTGCATTATGTATTTAGTGAGTAAAAATTGAAAAATATTATTATGTCAAATAAATAATTTTAGTGTTACCTGCAGTGTATGATTCCACAAGAGAAATTTTATGGTTTACTGATCTAGCTTTGCCAAATAGGTAAACTTTGCTCAAGTTACCAAGGTTGATGATATCATCAAGAGGGCTTAGAGATCTATAATTGATCAAAACTAAACTTTGAGAATGAATTTATGATAATCTATAAGCATGTCAAGTTTCATCAAGATTGTATGTTATCTTCACATATTTTTATCTTTGTTTTGGAATCCACCACTCCTGACATTGCACCCAATCTTGAAGTCCCATGTGGAATAGGGTTAATTAGATAATTTGCATATAAATGTTATTCCCTAAAGTGGATTTTGGATATGTTACAGAGATCAAAATTCTGGTTCTATTGTTATCAAAAGCAACTTGATAATTTTTTTCCTTGTTTTCTCTTCCATGGCCATATTTGTTAATGATAGTTCATAGACTGTTTTAAAATTTTGCAGAACTGTATGTTTTTCACTAATAATACTTCTGCTTGCTTATTTTTGTATCTCTTAGAATCTTTAACAATCATAGAAGAGTTAAGCTATTTTTTTGTGATTTTAGTGACAAATGTTAGCTAATTCTGTAGGTGTCTGTAATTTCTGTTTGAATTTTGTATCTAGCTTCTTTTTTGTTAGATAGAGATTTCCTCTCAATGGTATACAATTTTTTTCTTCAATGAAATATTAATTTTTTTTAAGTTTACTAATCACCTATGAAGTTTTTTGCAATTTGAAATTCAACTTTTTATATGTACCTACATAACTTTTTTTGAAACTGAAAGCCAGTTTTTTTTTGTATATCCCTTTGTTTTTACAAGAATGTAGAGCCATCATTTTCTTACAGATGATTTGCTGCAATTCCAGGTATGGTATCAATATTTTGTACATCACCAAATGTGTAAAAATCCTTTAGATTGGACATTTCAATTAAGAATTCATTCAAAAAAATGGATGATTCTTAGATTTGGAAGTTTCAAGAATCTGTTTTAAAAGAATTTTGTTGCTCTGTGAAAAATGTGTACCTTCATCAACTTGATTGTTCAGTTGTTTGTAATCCAATGACAACAGTTGTTGCTTCATGTTTTCATTTAAAAGGTTATTCTATTGGTTTGTGTTTAATTCTTTTGAATGGGGATTACTTTTAGATATAAAGATTGTTTTTGATATCAGTAGAACATGAGAGACCAGGCTGAAGATATCATATAATGGTATCTTTTACCTAAGAACTTTTAAAACCTCTTGTACATTATAACTAATTTTGCCCATTTCACAAGATTGTTGAAATAGGTTATTTCACGTGCTCTGCTTCTTTTCTTCCTTTGTAAATATTTATATTCAAGCTGTGATGATTGCAAAGCAGATTGTCACAACTGAAATTACCATATAAAAAATAAAAGCAAGCTTGGAACAAGTATTACTTTTGTATCTCCTAGAATCTTTAACAGTCATAGAAGAGTTGAGCTATTTTTTGTGATTTTAGTGATATATGAAACTTACATTATACTCAGTTACTAGGCATGACAAATTTTAGCTAATTCTGTGAGTGTCTGTAACTTCTGTATGAATTTTGTATCTGGCTTCTTTTTTATTAGATAGATATATCCTCTTAATGGTATAGAGTTTTTTTTCAATGAAATGTTAATTTTTTGGAAGTTTACTATTCATTTTCTTGTTCTATATTTTAATGAATTGAAGTAGTTAAAGAACCTGGGTTTAAATGAAACAGTGGAAGGTTAGATTTATCATTTTATGTAAAATATATGGATCACATGTCAGTGGGAAACTATTATTTGTCACTAGGTTTTGAAATGCGAGTTATGGAAGCAGGTGTATAGGATTGTTATAGAAATTCCAGTATGTGGTTGTGGACAAAAAAAAAACTTTTATTTTTAGTAATTCAGAAATGACCTATTCTTCAAAGTTCGCTTGTAAAACGATAGTTTAATATGGTGTGAGAAGAGTGATTTGATTTGGGTTATTCAGTTATGAATAATCATGCTGAGTTATATTTGTCAAAATGATTAACGTTTATGCTCGAAAGAGTTCCAGTGCACCTGTATGTCACGAAATCAAAATATTTGATTTTTCTTTTGAAAGAAATCTTTTAGATTCATCATATTTACATAAAAATATTTTTAACTACCAGTACATGAATTCCAAATAATTATGGTGTACAGTTAGCTGTATACTTGTTTAATTTATGAATATACAGTTAGTTTCATGATACTATGGTTTATGAAAGGGTAAGCATAAGTATTAATTACTTAGTAAGCAAAAGTAGAGTGTGTGTATATTCAGTATGTTTTTTTGTATATCAGGTAAGTTCAAAAGTGTATGTGGTGACTCGGGCTTAAAAAGCAGATATGAATGATAGATTTTAGAAAGGTTAATTTAGAAACATTCTCAAATGATATTTGTTTCTGTATTAATATACAATATAAAATCTTTATCTTATATTTTATATTTGCTTGTTTAAAAATTAATTTTTTTTGCAAAAGATATATATATATATTTTTTATGTTGGGCAAAGCTCCAGCAGTGGTTGAATGTTGAGTAGTTTTGGAAGTTGGACTTGTGGACCATCAAGTGTACTTCATTACAAATATATGTCCTTTAGCTAATGAGAGATTAACTAAGTGTGGATTTTGGTAGTGTAATAAAATGAGTAACAATTTTATACAACTCTTATTAAATCGTACAAACTATTGTTAAACCTTGAGTAGGATAATACAGCAGTAACTGGTAGTAATAGTAACACACAACCAGTTAAACTAATGCTCGTTTTTTTGTTTGTTTCTTTTTCAGTTATTTTCCCCATACCAATAACTGTTTTTTATTATTAGTAGTATTAATGTTTCTTATAAATGTTTTCTGGTTAAGATAATTGACTTGTATACATGATGTATGTTCATAAGTTTAGATAACTTCTGTATATTAGTTATTACTTATGATAGAAAACATGCTTTTGACATTCAGTAAAAAAATGTGGATCCCAGTGATTAGCTCATGAAGACTTAAAAGAATAATGGCCAGGTCCTTGCTATATGGATATCAATAACATATAAGTGAATTCATTCACATGTGCTAACCCTAAGAGAAGCAACTAACTCTGGAATTACAAAACAGTTTTCTTTGTTGTGTAAATTTTAGGGGTATAAGATAATCGTGACTCAAAAGGAAAAGCGAACTGCTGCCTATGGTAACATCTTACTGTAAGACCAGAGTGTGATTGACTAGATCACTTAGAGCATCCTCCTGTTATTGTAATGTATATTTCTATTATTGAAGCTGTCTTGAGAATTCCCAGGAAACTTATATAGACAGAATATATTGTAATATTGCCTGGGTTGGTTTTGTTTATAGATGTTGAAAGGTCATTTAATAGTATAAATTGCATGCAGCAGGTAACAATATATTTTATCCATTATGCTGTATTGCTGCTATCTGTTAATTATAATACCAATATCTGACAGAGATGCATTTTTTAATGTTTTTTGTGGTGGAGAACTTTAGATTTACAACATGAAAAGCAAAATTAAAAAATTATTTGCATCTACTGACATAAAACTAGTAGAGGATTTTACTGTAAATTGCTGATAGTACTGAACAACCAGTAAAAAACTTCTGTTAAATTGATAAAATAATTTAAATTTTAAGTAATTTAGTGTTACTAGCAGATGAAAGTTAATGAATCTAGGTAAATAAGAATACTTTATTAATGTGTAGGATAGGATGGTAACTGTGGAAAGATGCTAAGAAAAATTTGATTTTATGAAACTGTTTTATCAGTAGATGTAGCTTTTTTGCCAAATGTTGGTTTGTTATTTTTGATAAAATGAATTGTTTAACTTTTATATGCAATATGTATGAGATAAAAGATGTAAAGGTAAAATGGTAAGTAAGAGATTTGGTAAGGAGTTTATTAATTAATATTCTCTACTCTGTTTTTGCAATTATGGTATGCTAAATGAAAAACATAAATTAGACAGGTAATCTAAATAAAAAGAGATATATTTATAAATTAAATATGTTAGTTATTCAATGGTATAAGATAGAGTTTTGAAATATATTTCTTAAATATTAGCTTTATTGTTGTTGAAAGGCACTTATATGATGTTACATACTGAAATAAATTTGTGCAAAAGTTGTAATACAGGTAAAACTGAATTTTTAAAGTGACATGTTAAATTATATTCAATATTTTATGCATACTAAAGTTGCAACTGAGCATTCTTTAACTATAAGAATGATGATGTTTTGTTAGTCTGTATATAAAATCCAGAAGTAAAAGAAAAAGTATGTGACTTGTTTGTACTTGTACTTCTTGACAATCACATGTAATGCTCGGATTAGTGTCTTGTAAACTACAATTTTGAAGGAATGCCTGAAAAATCCAGGGTTTTAATCATGTTTTCTACACATGCAGCCACTTGTTGATTTAAATCAGTGTTGTATAGTTTGTATGTTTACATGTATTTCAGAGCTTTGTTAAAAAAGATTGTCTTTCAATTTCCAGTTGCACATTTTAATGTGTGAACTCAATATCACATTTATTACAATTTGTTTATATATATGTATATATTATATATATATTTTTTTTATATTCTAGTCAAAAATTATATACTAGATGTGCTTATTCATTTACTATTATTGGCTGAAGTAAATGTGACTAGACTATCTTTAGGTTATTATCAGGAAAAAATATTTATATGTGGCAGAACTATCTTGGAAGTAGTTATCATGTGGAAATTTGTGTGTGAATTATATGTAATAGGACAGGATTACCTGGGAAGTGGTTATCAAGAGGATAGGACCATCTTGGAAGTAATTATCAGGTGGAAATTTTCGTTTGCATTACATGTGGTATGACAAGATTATCTGGGAAGTGGTTATCAGGAGGAACTCTTCATTTGAATTACATGTGATAAGACAGGACCATTTTGGAAGAGTTTATTAGGTGGCAATTTTCATTTGAATAATATGTGACAGGACAAAACTATTTGGGAAGTGGTTTTTCAAGAGGAAATCTTTATTTGGATTACATAGGATATCTTTAAGTAGATTTTAAAAAACCTCTTTGGAATTATTTTAACATATTACACATCATTGAATTAATTAGTCTGTTTTATTTGTAATATTTTCTTGGTATAAACTCCATTCATTTATTAAAGTTCAAATCAAAATAATGTTTAAGAGAATGCTTGCCAAGTGCAGTATGTTGTCAAAGTTGCTTTTTGTTACATTTAAATGTACCATGAATAGCACTGTTGTTTAAATCTTCACAGGGTTACCTTGTGTCAAACTTTTATAATTCATTGGTTTTCAAGTTGAGAAGTAAAATAAAATCTAAGGTTTGTCAGACTGTGTGTTTGCTTTTTGTTATTGTATACAACTGTTTGAATTATTGTGAAAAACCTAAATTGTCAACATATTATCTCAAAGTTTCATTAATAATGTGTTTAAAATCAATAGTATAATCAGATATAACAAACAAGATACCTTATATAGATTTTTAAAATTTTTATTGAGATTTTAATGTCTGATTTTTTTACAGTAGAAATACTATTTTTGCATATTATTGAAACAAGTATTACTGTAATTTTTTGTTCTTAAAATTACAAGTGTATATACAGTAAAGGTTTAAAACTGCTGATTAGAGGGTAATCTTCCAGTCATCAGACTATGTGGCTAGTCTTACACAAATAGTGGGATTAGTTATAACTTTTATAATGTACCTACAATTGAAAGTGCAGAGCATGTTCAATGGCATGTCAGGGCCTAAACCTTGGACCTTTTGATTCACAGTGGGCTGGGTATGATGTAATCATTAACTTGTGTGCACTGTGGTCTGAGGATTCATGGCTCAGGTTTCATTGTCACTTGGATTTTATTAATAAAGAACTTAACAGCCTCTTTCTGTTTAAATTTAAGTAAGAAATTTCCATTTAATGCATCACTTTCTCTCTTCATGGTGTGATTGTTTATAATGTTGTTTTATATATTTCTAAAACCGAAAATCTAACTTACCTTTTCACTTGCATACTCATATTTTTGGAAATTCTGGTTCTCCTGTGTGAATACTTTTTTAGTGTACACTTTCAATCTTATATTATACTTTGTTTTCTGACAAAACAGAAACACACCTGAGCAGGTTTTATGAAAAGTGACTGTATAAGATTGAGAGAATAATTGAAGTTCTAGTGATACATTATTCAAAAAATGAAAAAAAACTTCTCAGACTTTGTATGAAATAATGAACAGTCCCAGATCTTTCATTCACAAGTAACATCACAGTATTGTAATGTAATTTTTGTTTGTTTATAAGAAGAAAGTAATTAAAAATGGTCTGGTGTACAGAATTTTATGGAAGTATATGAAATTATTATCAGTTTAGCTTCTACTTTTGATAATCACCAGTTTGTGATTAAAATCCTTAATCTTGATTAAAGTTCGATCTTTTAGTGCCTTATAAAATTTTGGTTTTCAATTTGTTAAACAAATCCCTGAAGTGAGAGTTAATAGTGTGTAAAGGTGCTTAACATTTCTGCAAGTAGCAACATGACACAGCAATGTCCAAGAAAACAACTTAAAAGGACTAGAAAAAATATGATGAAAAATTGACATAACCATTAATCTACAGAATTCATATCAATGTTGTTAAAAAAAAGAATTGTTTAATTTAAACTATCTGGAGTAAATATACACGGGCGATACATGGTACTTTCTGAGCAAATCTTCTGTTATTTGCGGGAACTATCATCAACCCTTACCTTTATTTAAATTCCTACAAGGCCAAAGTCAGTAGTGTAAATAAGTTTTTAAAGTTCACATTGCTGGCAGTACCTTGTTCCGGTCATTTTGTATATGTATAGTCGGAACCTGCCTGATTCTCTGGCCCAAGAAATGTATAATTAATATTGTTGCGTATCTGCTCGTTTGTTAATATCTGGTATAAATTATTTTCCAGGAACTTCAGCGATACAAGTCCTTTCTTAATTAAAACTAGTTTATTCTTTCTCGATACAACTTTGTAATACACAGAATTTCCACAGTCATTTTAAACTTAACAACCTTTATAATACGCTATAAATCACAGTGACTCACACACTTTACTTACGGTGCCTACTGTTCGCTTGACTCAATTATTTCTATCTGCATATCTATCGCTGGCTTTATTTGCCGGGCTTATATACTAAAAAAGAGGGCGCCTGGCAAACACTCGGACATTCTCGAGGTTCCTCAATAAGTCATGATCCTTCTAGAAACTCCAGCGCACATGCTCCCAGGGTCGCGTGACTTCCGCTGTCGTAACAATATAAACTTCCGATCAGAGTAAGCTACCTGCTAAGAGTAAAACTAAAAATCAATCTGTTAATGAGTATAGTTAATTGAATGTACTTTTCTGACGTTCTTAATTATAAATATTATAATTATTTCATTAGTTGGGTACCCTCGCTGTTAACACTATTTTCGTCTGTTGCATTGTATGTAATTACATCAAAACAACAGTATTTTATAAATAACTACACGGGAAGCACTTAATCTTACAACCTAAACGGTACACTTAATTACGTACTAACGCATAATAGCCAGTTGGTTAGGGTGCTCGACTTGTAATCTGCGGGTTGCTGGTTCGAATTCCCGTTCTACCAAACATATTCGCCGTTTCAGCCGTGGGGGCGTTATAATGTAACGGTCAATCCCACTATTCGTTCGTAAAAGAGTAGCCCAAGAGCGGTAAATGGTGATGACTAGCTGCCTTCCCTCTAGTCTTTGACTGCTAAATTGGGGACGGCTAGCGCAGATAACTCTGGTGCAGCTTTGCGCGAAATTCATAACAAACAAGCTTAACGCATGATTCTGTCAGTTCGTATATAATTTGTTCCCACATTTCTTATCACCAGGACTTTCACAAACTAGTTTTTACGCCCTGTTCCTTTATAGTCAAGAATTTATCATAATTTGCAAAGGTATTGGTCGGACATTTGCTCGACCTTGGCTACACCACTGACCAAGCTTACAATCAAGTCATCCATTTTGTTTTTAATTGTTGTTTAAAATTATACAAAGCGTTTATTTAAACAATTGCTTCATTCATTTAATAGAAGTTTTACAACAGAATCAATACAAACAAAAACTGTTGTAGAAGGTTTTTAATAAAAATAATTTTTGTCTTGGTAATGACAAACTATTAATCGGTAGATAATATAAGTTTGATACTTTATCGACTTGTTCAATTGTTTGTTTGTAATTAAGCACAAAGCTAGACACTGGGCTATCTGTGCTCTGCCCACCACGGGTATCGAAACCAGGATTCTAGCGTTGTAAGTCCGCAGAATACCGCTGTGCTACTGGGAGGGGGCGACTTATTTAAGATAAATTTTCAACATATTTGCATCAATAATCGTAATACATATATTCGGCGGAATTCTCGCTGTCTTCACGAAGTTCTAGAATGTAGGTTTTAAAACTTGAACATAGCCTTGTTTTTTATTATATTTCGAACAACAAATGGCATTTTTTATATAATGGAATGTTTTATGTAATTTAATCTGTCAATAGTAGGTTTGAACCCACTTACAAATTTTATCGTCGGTGTTATGTTTAAAAAAGGCAGGAACTTGTACGACGTGACACTAGAATTTTATTTTAATGAATATAATTTAAGCACATTGTGGAGGTTTTACTTTCATGAATAAAACAATACCACTGACTGACTGACTTCAGATACTAGTTCATTCAACAACAACAACAAAAAAGATTTGAGATTTCTTCGATGTTTCGGTTTCTTTCTCTCCCATCTATTGTTACGACAGCGGTAGTCACGTGATTCTGGTAACACGTCATGATATTCTAGAAGGATCGGGGAACATCATGAATAATCCAGTATGTGCTAGGCGCCCTCTATTCCTGTATATAAGTGCGCCGGATAACGTGAGACAATTTAATCGAAATTGAATTGCAGAGATAAAGACGGACAATTGAGTCAAGCGCGGTAGTGACCGAAAGTAAGTGCGTGAATCATTGTGAATTATAGCGTGTGTTTAAAGTGACTGTGGAAATTAAGTGTATTACAAAGTTGAATTGAGAAAGAATAAACTAGTTTTATTTAAGAAAGGATTTGTATCGCTAAAGTTTCATCCGAAAGAAATTATACGGGAAATTAACAAACGACCAGAGGCGTAACACTATATTGTATAAATAGTAAAGTTAAACAACTACAATCTTTCTATTAACAAAACTGTCGAATTTCGAAATGACAATATTTGTCTGGTGTCGCAAGTTGTAAAAAACTCGTTGAACCAATATTGACGAAATTTGGGAACTTAAGTAGAATAAGCGATCGTACTTACGGTTCGACTTTGCCAGCTATTTCAGTTTTACCGTTTTCATGACACTAATGAGAGTTCAACCGATCAAGGTAGTCAGTAGCAAAACACTTGAAACAAGCCGTCGCGTACAAAAGTGACGTTTAACGTCGCGCGTAGAACGGTTACTTTTTTTTTTTGCGTAGGATGAATGGTTCGTGTACTGCCGCCAAAGCCCATATTTATAGCATTATTTTTTAAGATCGGTATTTTCAGGTGCTTAATATTTTTTGCTGTTATGTTCCAACCTTTATGAACTCATTCTGGTTTGTACAAGACACATCGATAGTCATAGAATAATATTTAATAGTCCCGACAGTCATTGGGCCGAGTGTTACTCGTTAGCGTGCCAGACTACATACAGATCTTCGTGCTTAATAATAAAAATTGCGTTGCGCATTTTGGAACTGTGGGTACACTTTTTAACGAGACTGTCAAATCCTACTAATCGATCAAGAGGTGGTGGTAAATGTTATTGAATAACTGCTTTCCATCTTAGTTTTCCAGTTCAAAATTAGGGACGGCTAGTGCAGATAGCTCTTAAGTAGCTTTGCGCGAATATCAGAAAATAAGAACAACAAAACAAAAAAAAGAAGTAAAGATTTACCCACTGTTCTGATACTTACATCAGCGTGTTGTCTGAGAATTCTGTAGCAAAAACTATTTAAAAACTTCATCATAAATGCAACATTATTTCAATGTTTCAGTTTTGAAACTTCCATTCAGAAACATTTGCAAATACCAAAATGAGTTCCATTGAAAAATAAAAGTTAATAAAAAAAGAGATTTATTGCAGATATGAACACAACACATATTACCGTATTCTACGTCTACACAAGTGTAATGTTAATTGCAACCTAAGTTAACGTTAATATCTATACATTTAAGAACTTTTATTTAATTATATTCTTATATATATACTTAGTATTGTCAAGATGTAAAGCTGGCTTTGCTGCTGAACAGTCATGTTTGTTTGTTTTTTATTTCTATGTG